TCTTCAATTTATCATAATTGTTTTATTGTGGTACTTAGATCATCTTCCACTTCAATGAAATAAATTGTGCACAGAAAGATTAGAATCGTAGCCAACATTTGATCCCTTTCCATACATAGTAAGGCAGTATTTTCTACGCAAAATAAGTTCAGTAAATGGGCAAGGGATTAATGCAAAGTGCTGTGTCTTGATCAACTACATGGTTCAAAATAATACAATCTTAACGTCCTCCAAGTTATACAAATACAATGGAGCCCTTTTAAGATATAATCCAATGCACTCTGGTTAATATGAAGAATTATCCTCCTCATTTGATATGATAGTAATAGTAATAATTCATGCATTTGATACAGTCAATTCACTTTACAGTCTGTTCTGTGAAGCGCTTTGAAACGTCCAGAAGATGTGAAAAGCGCTATATCAAATGCAAGGATTATTATTATAGTGCCTTATCATGTCATTGAGATGTCTCAAACCACTTAACAGAATACAATAAAGTGGGTTGACTATGTATATTATGGGCGAAATGCGACAGCTAATTGTGCACAGATACTTGTATTGAAGCTGTCTCAAAACATTATTTATGTTTTTGTGATGTAATCTAACATTAACACAGAGGCAGTTGGAGCAGTGCTTTATGATGGAGATGCTCAAAAATGATTCCTTTTTGAATTAGGATTGTAATCTTTTAAGTTTTGTAGCCTTTCAGTAAACTAGTACAGTATGATTTCAAGTTGCTGCAATCGTGTCTTCTGTAAGTACATTGAGGAAAATGCCTTTTATAATTGTGTTTTCTATATTGGTGAAGGATATGGGTGAAATAGGAGCGTTCCCATTCAAACCGTTTTTAAAAAAAAGTGTTCTCATGCTGCATCCTGTATTACTGGATTTCAACTGTAGGAATATGTTAGTGCCTAACAACTGCATGTATATATATATAATATATTTTACGTAAAATAATGCCTTCCTGCTCTGAGCAGAGAAATTAATCATTTAAAGATGCTAACCAAAGTGATGTCAGGGAGAAAAAATTGTAGGAGGTTTTTGAAGAGATCGGAGAATAAAAAGTAGTTTTGGAAGACAGCAGAGAGGTATGGTGGTTGAAGGAATGGCCACTGATATTGCTCGATTGGGGAACGATTGCTCAGTGGGGAGCGAGCAATAGACTAGCAAGAAGAATGGAGGGGACTTACAGGAATGCAAAGCTGGAGATGGTATTGATTGGGTCGGTGGGAGAAAGTTGTCCCCAGAGGGGATATAAGGTGGCTCCAAGGTGACGTGCTTGACAATCGAATGTGGTAATCGAGCCAACCCTGGGCAGTATCGGTAATCTGCTTCCTAAACTAAGTCGGTCTGTAGTACTTCAGGACACTGCTGATGACAGACCAGTCGTTTTGGCTCATTGGCAGGTCTTGGAGAGGCAGACCCATCACTGCAAGGATCTTTCCATTCAGCTTCTGTTAGTTCTGCAAGATAAAACTCCTATGTGGTGTTAGCTGGATTAACAGCAGGAATCTTGCTAGTTGGTGCTTTCAAAGGCAAGCTATGTGGTTTTAGCTAGATTAACTCCAGCTGTACCCCAATGCTTACTCTGGGCTCCATAAGTCTTGGCTTTTGCTTGACTATGTCTAAATATTCTTTTGGAATTGGATATGAAGGGTGTGTCCCTCTGGAGAGATGTTGGCAGGTTTCCGTTTGTGTCAGACACCTATCTGACCAACAAAATGGGGAGGACTGGAGGGAATTGAACACCAGGATGCGTACATTGGCCCTTGGAATTGATGGAGCTTAGAAAGTATAAGGGTAATAGCTAAGTGGAGGTTGGTGTAGAGGAAAACTCTGACTTCAGAGTCTGGATCAGCTGTAACTCTTCCAGATGGAGTTATGGAGGCTGTTAAGGAGAGGATTGAAAAATTAGATCATTGAGGCGATGAAGGCACTAATAAAGGTTTCAGAATCAGTGAGGTAAGGTTAAAGGTGTAAGCAGACTATCTTCTGGAGATGAAAGAAAGTAGTCTTGGCAATGTGGGAGTTGAACTCAGAGAATGGTTAAGCAGAATATCTAGCTTGAAATTGGAGTCAGTGGCAAGTTAGTGCTGGCAAGAAGCAAAGAAGTTAGTTTCAGTCTTCTTGTCATTCAGCTGGAAAAAAAGTGACATTGAGGATTTGATTTAAGCAGTCACAATCTTTCTAATAACATAATTGTAAGATTGCATTCATGATGATCACTTATGGTAAACAATACTTGCTTTCATTTTCATTCAATTTTTTCATCACTTACTTTTTTCATCAATTAATGGGATGCAACCTTTGGCATAAACAATGTTGAAACTGACAAATGGCATTGTGTAAGGCTAGTACAAATGTTGCCATTGGGGAATATCTTAAGATTTTTAAAAAATATTGCATGAAATATAGTAATTGATTGACTCCCAAGATTTTGCCTCTTTAGATTTTTTAATTGACTCATAACTCGTAATTTAATTAAGTAATTGAGATGACCAGGGGTAGATTTTATAACCCTGCAGGAATTCAAAAAATGTTGGTTTATTTTGAAATATTGTACAAAGATATTCAGTGGATTTGGGCTGCATTACAAATGAGCCACTTTACTCCTGCCGAGCCTATTTTTCTCTGAACATATTGGTTGCAGGAGGGGGATGGGCGGGTGGTTTCTATTCTTTTCTGGAGTATAGCATGATTGGCTGCAATTTACTACTGCATCTCCCTGATAGGAAACAATGAGCTGAGGCTGCTGTTGCCTAGGGAGTGTGTAAGAATGGCAAAACCATTTGGAAACCCAAAAATAGTGAGCCAAGCACACTACTACATAATAGCAGCTGTCAAGTCTCCCAAGTCAGAATTAAAGCCAGTCTCATAAGGTAGCATGTCTAATGCTGTAGGTTAAGTAGTCCTGGCTTGTACGGTTCTGAATTAAGAACTTTTCTTTGGGTTGTGATGCCTATTGTAGTTCTGACTTGAATGTTGATGATCTGTGAGTGAGATGGTTCATATTATCCAGCAGAACCCTCTGCTGGTAACATGCTGCACACAGTGTATCTTAGAAACAATATGCATACAGCTCTAACTTGCAGAAATTAAAGGCTGCAGACTGGAGAAATGCGGAGTTCACCACAGCTGTTCAATCTAAGCTAACCTTATACCAGCCTACCTACAATGCAGCCATCTAGTGGCAGGCTAATAAGTTATATTATAAGTTTTTTTTGACAACAATCTGAAGATTTTTATGAAATCAAGTATATATTTAAGGTTAAGGATCAAGTTGTTTGCATAAAATCAGAAATAATTAAAAAAGTGAGTAAGTGGGTTTACTACAGCTGCTCTGGTGTGTGGAAGTGAGCAATATAATTTGAAGACGGCAGGGTCATTTGTTTGTTGTACTATATCTTTTTCAGAGTGCCCCCTACTGTTGCCCAGCCAGTTAAAATTTGAACATTACAAGTATATTCTAGGCAATTTTGATGATCTTGCAACTTTAAGAGATTCAATGTAATAAAGCATCTTTCTGTGTTTCCGTTGTGTATGGAAAAGGAGTTGCAAGACTTTTAAATTTTAATTTCATGAATGAGTAACTTTGATGATATTACTTTCATCGTTTTGAGCTTGTGGATAATGCTGCCTCTGGTGGCCATATAGAAGTGTTCACTAAATGGTGGTTGGGTGGTTGGGAGGTCACACTCCACAGCTTCTTTATAATGAAAAAAGACTTGACACTCTACTTGTCTTTTCAAGCATACTTAAAAGGGCTCCTCTTGTTATGACTTTTAATTTAAAAGTTGTCAAAAAAAATTACACAACTTCATTATTTTCTGTAAATTAACAGTGTAACTGATTTCAAATAATCTGAAGTTTTTGTTTTGCCAATTGTGAAATCTTGCAAATATTCTTGCTTCCACAGATTTGTGATCAAATTCTGAATTTGTTTATAAATGTTACCATAGGTGTAAAAATTCAAAATCGATGGTCATACTACAGTGTGCAATACAGAGGTATTCCTGTGGGTGTCTCTTTTCCCTAGTGATTTCATAAAACCTTTGAGCAACAGTGGGTTGCAAACAAGAGTGGACAAAGAATAACAGATTTTTTTTGTTCTGTTGTGCATTCATTTCAAGCCTGCACTTTGAAAGCTCAGTCCATTCTTAGTTTAAACAGAATCTGCTAAATTACTTGGGATCACATTGGATCCTTCCAGTGTTCCACATTGGATTATTTTGGAACTTGAATTTAATTGCTGCTCAAAATGAAATGTTTATACTATTATGGATAGTTCTTCGTTAAATTGTTCGATGCTGCGTTCTTCCCCTCCTGGCGACTGCTCATGGCTCCAAGCTCATCATAATGAAATGTAGATCAATCAGTTTCTCCTGGTATCCCGACCAGAGCAGTGCTCCAGATAAAATTGTTCATTCACGTCATGGCTGTTTCTGGGACAATGCTGTACGCAAATTGGCTGTCACGTTTGCCACAAAATATTCACTGCATTCTACAGTAAATCCTGTGAAATGCTTGATAAATGCTATGTCAAATGTTTTTGGATTTAATGCGGTTTTTCAAAGAAATACAACAAATAGACAAAAATATGAAAAATTTTGACTGTGAGCTTTGCAATCCATCTTGATTTTATACATTTTGTACATTTTTTAACTGGTTTACATTTAGGAGATTGCTGGTTTATTAGTATTTCAATACCATCTGTAGAATATTCTAAATTTCTGCAGTGATCTATGTCCTTTTCATTATCTCGAGGAAAAAATAAAAATGTTGCCTTTTAGTATAATTTCTTATCACATTAAAATATCTTAAGGCACTTGACAAAGTGTTACTTTGAACTGAAGTAAATGTTGTGTAGGACAAATTCACTGTTTGAATAACAGCAGTGGTTTTTAAAAAAAATGTTTGAGAAAGTATTGCTTGCGTGAGGCTTGTTTGTTTTGCAGTATTGTGTTTTATCTTAACATTACAATTCTTTTTGAATTTAGAATGTGCCCAAATATGTCTTTCATAAAGACTTGGCAAGAAGAAGGAGAAGCGGTTGATTTTCATACAATCAAGTTCATTGAAAGATTGCTTAGTTTCAGAACTTCCAAGAGGAAGTTCCAGAATTCCAATCCAGTTTTCAGCACGGCAAAGCTGCTGAAGCGATGATCACTCCAGAGATCCCAGTGTTGCAGTAAGTTCTGCTAATTTTAGGACATCTGGTGATTTTCCATCTGAAGTTTGTTTCCAGAGTGTCTGTTCCCTAGTTAATAACTAATGCTCTGCAGAGGGCAGTAATGGTTGGTATTTTCTCCCCTCTTTTGAATGCATTGTTGCCATTTGGTTTCACTGTCTGTGGCAGCCCTCTGCTATTTTCACCAAATTGTCAAAATTAGCCATTCTCAACGTGTTAATCAAATCACGTTTATGAAAGCAAATAGCATACTCTAGTCATAAAAGTACAATAGTATTAAAGTATTCCCCCTCTCAAATTTTGTGAAATCTACATATTTTTGTGCATCTGCTTCCCAGTTTTGGTGTCAATTTGTTTAAGTTGCTTTTATACCAGTGAAGTTTTAAATTCCCTGCCAAACTCACAAGGATGGGATCAAGTATGAAGTTAGTAGTCCGGAGAACATACTGATGGAGCCTGGAAGCACAAAATTGATCTTATTGATTACTGATATTGAAGCATGCAGTTGTGCTTCATCGTAGCATTTTATACATTAATTGCTTTTATTGACCTGTGCAGAGAGGGTTCATAAATGTAATTTTCAGGTCAATTTGTATTTAAAGCCTCACATTTTTCATAGAATTAACCTATTATAGCCCAACCAAGTTAAAATACATGCTGTAGATGTTACATTTTTTGTGTAGCTATTTCATATCTAGGTTTATATTAAATTCTAAGTTAGGTTCATATTACGTACTTGACTGAATGATTATATAAATACATACGAGTCAAGCTCTCTAGTTATCTGATGTATGAGAGTTGTGGAATGAAATATGTTTTCATTTAAAATTGTATTTTGCAATGCTTGTCTTTCAGGGAGTCAACTAATGAAACAACTATTCATTCTGATGTTGCCAGTGAATATGATGACCGAGAAGTGAAGGGTCGGAAACGAAGAGCTCGAGGTCCTGGAAGGCCTCCGGTATGCAATTTTAATCTTAAAAACAAAATGTATAGTTCTGACTAACAACATTGATATTTTATTTGTATGCAACTGGAGCATGTTGAATGCAAGAGACTACATGATGTAAAGTGCTAAAGCTCATTAAGGAATGAGACCATCTAAACAACCATCCAGGATAGTTACTATGAAAATCTAAAAATCACAAAATATTGATTATGTACCATGTGAAATAAAATCTTTTTATTTGGTCCAGATGTCTTGAATGCAATTTATCCTTGTTTACCTAGTCACATGTCAATATTTTTTATAATAAAAGGGGGTGCTTCTCCAAATAATTTATGAATATATAAAGTGCTCTGAGGGAGCTACCCACGTGAAAGGCGCTATATAAATGTAGGTGGTTTGTTGTTGAATATTATGAATTGTAGGAGACCCAGAACTTATTGAATATATTGTACGCAATTGGCTGCTGTGATTTGCCCACAAATATACAGTCAATTGGCTTTACAGTATATTCTGTGAAGTGCTTTGAGACATTTAGAAGATGTGAAAAGTGCTGTATCAAATGCAAGGATTATTATTATTTTATAACATACTTGCAAAATCTTACAAATCACTGCCCTTACACCACCAGCTGTAACTTTTTTCATTTATCAGCAACCTTTTTTCTAACCTAGTTTTCAATGCAACAAGCTAATTTTCCATCAATTTTATGAGCTTTAACCTTGAATCAAATGTCTTTATTGATGGTAAATCGTATCCACTCAAATGTTCTCATCCACCAGTTCAGTTGCTTCCTCATTTGGCTTCTTTTAAGCATCGATTTAGTTTTTGATATTTCTTTTGATCTAAAGACTGCCAAGAAGGCCAGACGTGCTCCAGGAGAGAGAAGTCGTGCAGGGTCAGGTGGCAGAGCCAATCTGGGAAAAGCGAATGGCCATCACCAGCAAAATGGAGAGGTTGAACCAGTCACATTGTTTGAGGTGGTGAAAATGGGCAAGAGTGCCATGCAGGTACAATAAGAATAACATAATTGTTGTGGATTAATACTTAGTCAATAATTTAGTTGCTTTCCTTAAAAAAACAATGTTATGTGTGAACTCAGTTATTCTTGGCATTGTGATTTTTATATGGTGAGAACACAAGTGGAGAAACCGCTCTCAACCCTTGTATAGTTTTCAGTCTACCATAATTTATTTTCAGTTGAAAATTAAATGTGAAAAATTTTCAATATTGCCTCTGTTCGAGAGCTATTTTTGCTGACTTGGTTCATTTTACAAAAAGATGCAAACAATTGTAAAATTACCCATTTTCAGTCTTGTTTGGAGAAAAAAAAAGTTGTCTATTGATATAGCTTGAAGGGATGGCTGAGTCCAACAATGTAAGCTGATTAACATATTTTGAGATGCAGGCATTCACCCAGCAGTGCTTCAGCTCCCTCACACAGTTGGACTCGGTTACTGCTTCGTTGTTTAGCTGATGTTATCAGCATTTACACTTTACAACAAAAACATTGGCAAAAAGAGATTAGTTCAGATTATTTAGACTAATTTTGTTTCAAGTCATTCAAACAGCTTCTCAACCTTAATGCTTAGCAATGAGAAAATATGTATTAAATACGGTATATTGAAGGAATGCTACCTGCATGCATTTTGTCAAGTCTCATTCTTTGGTTGAAGTACTGCTTCTGAGAGCCGTTTTCACTGACAAATCTACATTAGCGTTGCTTTTTTAAGACAGCCCCTAACTGAATTTAGAAATTGTCTACATGATCCTACTATGTTGAAATATATTCATCCTGAATTGCCCCACATTGAGGATTATAAAGGTAGATGTAAATTTAATGTCTTCTCTCCTCCCCCATCCCCCCCCTCCACCCCATATCCAGATGACCTGGTCCAGTAAATAAAATCTTGAATGGAGGTGGTGGGTCGGGTCAGCTCTCTCTTTTCCCCTCCCGTTCCTGATGTATCCCATGATAAGGCATGACTAAAAGATGCCAGTGAATTTACGGATATATCCCTTTATTATCCCTGATTGTCCGGCGCCTTAGGACGTGGAAGGCGCTATACAAATGTAACTTGTTATTATCCTAAGGAATTATGGGCAATTCGGAATACACTTCTCCATTTGGATAACAAACAGACATTGAGCCAAATTGCAACGTCCGTAAAACTGCCATTCATATTCTCAGTATCAAATGCATGTCAGAGTATAAACATCTATATATAGAACGTGTAATGTTCTGCTTACGAAAATCTTACAAGTAAAAGTTGAAAAGCTGATGCGCAGCGGAACTTCTTATACATGCCGTGCAAAAATAATGCTAGTTACACAGGAATTGACGTCTGTGGCTATCTGGAAGTTGGCCATTTTCGTAAAAAAATTATAAATTGTATCAATGGAAATTGATTTTTATTAATTGTATAACATTGCAAGAGACAAATATCAATGTTTTCCAATTTTAATCTATTTCCACCAAAACTAATTATATATAATTATTCATGGTAACATTTCTCTCAACAGTCTGTGGTTGATGACTGGATAGAATCGTACAAACAGGACAGGGATATAGCACTTCTGGACCTTATCAACTTCTTCATTCAGTGTTCAGGATGTAAAGGTAAACAAAAAAAGTCAAGGTTTTAACATCGACTTTATCTGGAGTTTAAAAAAAATGCAATAGAAATGTGTAGTTCCTGCATGACAGTTGATGTATTGTTTAAGTAGTTGACATACACCAGCTTTCTCAAACCAAATATAAATTGATCTTTTCATTCAACCTTTATTTGCAAATAGACCTGTGTGTCGTAATTGTCATTTGAGGACTCAGAGCATTCCTTAATTTATGGCACTTAATCCTTATTTGCCGAATGAATTTATTCAGACATGACATTGATAAATATGTCATACACCTAACTGTATTAGCAAACAGCTTTGATTTTTGCTTTTATGTGCAGTCCGTTCAGTCCAACTCACTAGCTCCACCTATGTAATGCAAACTAAAGAGCTCTGCAAAAAAATGACACTTTTGAAGAACAGAATGTAATAATTTGAGAAATCCATGGCTCATACACAAATCCTGATGTTTCTTCGAGTCATTGATTTTCTTGAATATCAGGCAGTCGATGTGTAAAGTTGATGCATTAAGTAGGTATTGATGTGGAATCTTGGATTTCTATTTTCTGTGCAGGCACTGTAAGAATTGAGATGTTTCGAAATATGCAGAATACAGAAATTATTAGGAAAATGACTGAAGAGTTTGATGAGGTGAGTCTCTTAGAAAAGGCAGTTTAGATCTGGTAGCTCATTGGAATAAATACCATGTCAAGAAGTTGAAGTTGCAAGCACGTTTTCATGTTTTGATATAATCCACCAGGATTCAACGTCATTGTTGGGTTTGTTTTGATAAATATATTTGTAATATTGTCCTTTAAATTTCTTTTCCCCCCTGCCCAGTTTTAAAGATGTAATATTCAAGCCTGAACAAAATAATTAGCCTTGTAAACATTACAGTGAAATTGTTTGGATCCTTTTGTTTTGGATAGCATTACCAACAAGAATACCTTACTGCCTTTTAAATGAATGAAATTGGGAAAAGCTTCATGCAAGTGAGCCCTGTTGAATAGAAAACCGTTCAAGCAATTTTTAAACTTCTGATTTCATGTTCTACAGTATTCTGAAGTGCAATTAATTCATGCAGAATAGATATTTTAATGAGAGCAAGTCTCCTTCTGTTTTCTGTGAATTTCTATGAGCTCCCTTGGCAGTTTGATTAATGGAATAGTGCTATGTTGGACCTTTTCATAGATAAATTTGTAAGTTGGCCTCTTGCCAAGAAGATGGGCCAAGCACCACTTGGCAGGAAAATGATTGCCTTGTGTAGCAAATAAAATTGCAGCACTTCAACAGTAAATTAATAGAGCATTTAATGGTGTTTAATAAGATTACAGTTTGAAGTTTTTTTTAACAGGACAGTGGAGATTATCCTCTTACCATGCCCGGTCCTCAGTGGAAGAAATTCCGAACAAATTTCTGTGAATTTATTGGAGTGCTGATCCGACAGTGCCAGTACAGTATTATTTATGACGAGTACATGATGGATACAGTGATTTCTCTCCTAACTGGGCTTTCGGATTCCCAGGTTCGAGCCTTTAGGCACACAAGTACATTGGCTGGTAAGTAAAGATCTAAGGAACACCAGTAACCTTTTCGTTTTTTTGTATTTTAACCTTTTGGGACAGAATATTTATGGTCAGCCAGCTGAAGACTAAACTGTGCATTGATATATACACTATGTGTGCAATATGTTTGTATTGAGAAAGTATATAATGTGTTTGTGTTGGAACAATCTGTAATGAGAAACCTAACTTGACCAAGATGTCTGATTTTCTGTGAGTGCAGTTTACTGAGAAATACAAATTAAGGATATTGTTTTTACGAATATTACATCTGAAGGTTTTGGAATATTGACTTTAACCAAATTGTCAATTCAGCATCTCTTTATTTTACACTTCAACGTATTTGCGTTTGATCCACAGCTATGAAGCTGATGACGGCATTGGTGAATGTGGCCTTAAACTTAAGTATACATCAGGATAATACTCAAAGGCAGTATGAGGCAGAGAGGAACAAAATGATTGGCAAACGAGCAAATGATAGATTGGAGCTGCTTTTACAGAAGAGAAAGGAGGTAAGGAAATTGACTACACAGCTTCAAGTGTTTCATTAAACTCTTGGGCCTGATTGACAATGCTGGAATTGGTGCAAATGTTTAAAGAATGTCTCAGTTATGTTATATGAAAGAAAAAAAATTGGGGGTAAAGACAACAGCATTGTTGCCAAAGACTGAACAATCAAAATGTTTTCAGTATCAAATGCAGTCGAGTTGGGCTCTAATAATAATAATCCTTGCATTTTTGGTATAGCACTTTTCAAGTCTTCTAAATGTCTCAAAGCGTTTCACAGAATATACTGAAAAGTTAATTGACTGTATATTTGTAGGCAAAACTCGGCAGCCAATTGCGGACAGCAGTGTCCCACAAACAGTCATGGATTGAGTGACCAAATTATTACTTTTTTTTTGAAGGATTATTATCCCTGGAAAAGTGATCCACTAATGATACTCCACTCCAATAAAGTGATTCATTTTAATAAAAAGGTTTCTGCTAACTGTCGCAGTCTTGATCAATTGTTCTTCTTTAGCCCGTTTTCTGAAACCTTTCTGTCAGTTTGAATCAAAGTTGTTAGGAGATGTTTTTTGCAATCACAATGTATATTTCTTTGGTTGTGATTGACAGGTGTAATATCAATAAATTGCAAAAAGCTTATTTTTCAAAAACAAGCTTGCGATCCAAACATTGCAGCAAAGCAGAATATTTTCTTATAAAAGTGAAGTCAATACTCTTTACTATCATATCTTATGACTCAATTAATGTTGACAAAAAGTGTTCAGCTGGAAAATCTGAGTGGAACCTTTCCACAACTAATATTTTGATACTGTGTGTATCTTTCAGAAGTCAGCATGCTGAATGTAAAAGTTACTTTCCCTTTTCCTCAGTGGTTTGATGGTGATTTGTAATAAAATGGTTGATTTCTAATAAAACAGCAGGTATATTTCATCAATAACTTCACTGATGTTCCAGTTAATAAAAGTACAGCCACTTCGATCTGACATACAGGATTAAGAGCTGCGCTGACCCAAGGAGTGCAGAAGTCTGGATTCAATCCTGGTTTATCCTGAGCAAGCTGTGCCAGCAGTTGAATGCTATAATAGATTTAACGCATTCCTTGCTTACGGAGGGAAAAATCACTCTGCGTTCTTGCTCTCTTCACTCTCTGCTTAAATGGAGAGCTGATGAGGACAGGTTCAGTCATCTGGGTGAACTCTATTACAGTTAAAAGTTCATGTGAATGTCTCTACCATTTAGTCTCATCTAATATTTTGTTTAGCTGTAATTGTTCAACCTGTGTTCCGATTTTTATGTACTGAGAGCAGAAGAATCAATTTGGATTCACCTACTTGTATATCATGCATTTTGTATTCTTTCTACTTTTAATAGCTTCAAGAGAACCAGGACGAGATTGAAAACATGATGAACTCTGTTTTTAAGGGTATATTTGTACACCGATATCGGTAAGTGATAACTTCTATAAATATGGGCTACAAAATTTAGTACATTTGGATTTTTTTGATCTAATCATTAATTCTAACATGACTGTATTGACTGAATATGCGTCAGTTATTTTTGCATCATTGTAAATTGTTATTTTGTAAAAATAAATGGACTTGGAAGAAAGTTTAACTCTTTATTTTACGTTTGAGTATTATCAACTGTTTCCTGTTTTAAGTGAACTTTTTTTGCCATTTTAATATACAGGGCAATCCTGTTTATAAGGTGCACTGTTATATAATGTGCACTGGTCTCTAGTTGTGTAGAGTGATGTAGGTGATGGTCTAATGATCGTATGGTTGCCAATTGTTTGTGCTTATAACAGTGGTCCTGAGATAGCATCCTGTATTTTTGTACAAAATTTGGATTTCTTTTTAAATAAAAGGTGCTATGATAGTGGGAAGTTTGGAACAGATAAACAAAGATTAAACTATCTTTTCCAGTGATGCCATTTCGGAGATCAGAGCAATTTGTATTGAAGAAATTGGTGTGTGGATGAAAAGCTACAGTGATGCCTTTCTTAATGACAGTTATCTTAAGTATGTGGGGTGGACACTTCATGACCGGGTATGATGAACTGCCATTCTGACCTCAACTTTTATTAATAAACACATCTATTTACATTTTCAAATTTTTGCAGCATAACAAAGTTTTGTTTAATTAGAATGAGCAAAATCTTACTTCACAATATTTCCAATAGCAAATATCAATATAAAGGATTTTAAAAAAATACTAGAATGGTTAATATTGCAATGACCAATTTTTATTTCTCCTCTTGATTTTGACTAAGTTGGATGTTTTTGTTTTCTTAGGAATTGAGACATATGGTATATAATCCCTGGATGGGAATGCCTTTTTAATTTCTGCTCTGCCGGCTGAAATTGTTTGCAAAGCTCATTAGAGACATCTAGTGGGAAAAATGATTATAATGATATGTCACTGTAGAAGATAGAGGGCAGTAAGTGTTTTTCGAAATTCAATGCAATTTAATTAACCTGCTTAATGTCCCATTTGTATTCAGCAAGGCGAAGTCAGGTTGAAATGTCTGAAAGCTCTGCAATCACTCTACACTAATAAGGAGCTTTTCCCCAAACTAGAACTGTTCACCAACAGATTCAAGGTAAGAATGTCCTTATTCTTATAGTTTGTATCCTAATGGGCACATGAAGGAAGTTTACATATTAACTTCCGTGTACATTTTTTATGTGATAGTTATACTAAATCAATTAAATGAAATCTAAAAGTCCAGTATAAATACTGCTTCAAAGGGTTTTGATTGATAGCCCCACTCCCTAAAACAATATAGAGTGCTTCTCAAGAATTGAATTGAATCAATGCTATTCTGTCTGCACTAGAATTCTGATTGTAATGTTTGATTTTAATGAATATATTTCAAAAAGTTCACGCCTTTTTAATGTATAATGTTTTTTACACACCAGAAATCTTTGCAGAACTGTACACGTTCTTTGTTGCAAGTGTGTAGAGGTCTCCTCAGCAAGAGTGATTTAGAGCGTAAACTATAAATATTGTTTCTTGTTCCTGTTTACTGCTAACAGTGATGGCAAACCACCACAGGAAAATAAAATGGCATTAAACAGTTGAAAGACAAGGCAGCCCTGTTTGAGCATGACCTTGTTGAGTGTGGGCTTGCTTAGAACCTAGATCAACTGCGTATCTGAACTACGCAGAAAGTGCATTACACCCGACTTCCGACATTCATTTGCCAGCTCCCGTGACAAAAAATGGCCGACTTGCAGATTTTCAAGTTGCAGCTGAGATCACTTCCTGCTCATGTGCAGGAATTGTCACTGATGGTGTTTCCTGCGCCGTCGACGAAGGAAATGTCACTGACCTCACTTTGCAGAGGAAGTGACTTCATCAGCAGTTTATCTGGCGAAGTAGTCAGTATTTCCCAGGAGGAAGCTTATTTTTACTGAGTGAGATTATGATGCATAGATTCTGTATAAACGTCTTCCTGTTTTGTGAGGAACACACAGTGATCGTATTTCTAATTTATATAGATTTAAGATTTCTTGTATCAAATCCTTCCGGAAGTAGAGGTTTGTTTATGTTTATCTCGATGTGCTCCTGATGGGAAAGGCGCTATATGAATGCAAAGTGTATTTTGAATTGATTTAAGTATTCAATTTTTTTTTAAATTTCAATCACATTAGGTTTCTCAGTAACTGTCGTTGCAGAGTACTTGACTCGCAATGCAGAGGGTCACAAGCTTAAATCTTGAACATGACTGACATGCAGATTCAGCCGCTGAATGGAGTTTTGTGTTTGTCCTGTTATTGACTTGTTGCCTTTAACTACAATGGAGAAGAATGACCTAAAGTAACCTTTCTGCAAGAAGAGATGAGAATATGGCTGGAGATGCTGTTATATTCATCTTCTCAGCTTAGCAAAGTTCTGGCAGCCCTCAGAGATTGGCACACTCTAATAGCTTTTGGCTCTTGGTTTAGGTGTTGTTTTATGTACCAAGTAAATGACTGTTTTATTTGTCCATTACAGACTGTTAACCGATGATTATAAATGATTAAGTGTTGTTGTTTGAACTCTCTCCGTAGGATCGTATTGTGTCTATGACATTAGACAAAGAATACGATGTTGCTGTGGAAGCAATCCGATTGGTTACTTTGATATTGCAGTGAGTGAAGTCTTTTGATTTCCCATTGAACTACTAATGCGCTTTGGGACGTCCTCCTGACGTGAAAGGCACTCTATAAATGTAATTTTGTTGTTGTTGCTGTTGTAAAGATTTATGCATTTAAAGTCTAATTAATTAATGCAATTTCATGTGCTTCATATTTTTGGATTGGTTGCATTGATACATCAGCTGAATTAATCTACTTGTTTTAATAGTCCTGATAACAAAGCGGGTTACAAAGTAAATCTATTCCAGTAACTGTAGCCTTGTTAAATGTTAAGTATTAACAACTTTTAAAAATAAACTTGAACCTGTACATGAAGTGTTTATGTTAAAATTCAAGATTCCTCCCTTGACCCCTTTATATCTCTTATTTATTCAAAAATGAAGTATTATAATAAATTGAAAAAGGTTAAATTATATTTCAGATAATAATCCTTGTCTTTGATATCATACATTATCACGTTGTTGAGACGTCTCAAAGTGCTTCACAGAATATATTGTAAAATGGATTGACTGAGTATTTTATGGGGGAAACGCGGATGCCAATCGCGCACAGGAGTATCCCACAAACAATTGTGCATTGGTGGAAGGATTATTATCCCCGGAAAGCAATCCTCCAATGAACTAACAACTGGGTTCCTATTTACTGCTAGGTAAACCAAGGCATGTGGAGTAATGAAACTTGCCTAAGGTTTCGCTCTGCCAGATAAAGTTGAGTTTTTTTTAAATAGATTTGACATGATTTCTCTATTTTTTTTCCCCAAAAAAACTTTATCTGTACTAAGGACTGTACTTTGCGTTGAGATGTTGTCCCAATGGTTACCAATGGCTTTCTGCTATCTTATCAAAGTTGTCATGCTTCCATGGTTTGACAATTCATCTAATTGTTAATGTTGCAAGGTTACAAGATAGCTATTCACAGTAACAGTAGCTTTATTTGACATGAAGTACTGAGAATAAATGTTGAGCAAAGCTGTTCATCCATAACAAAAATAATAAAACAGTAATAAATAAAGGGAGAGTGGGGATCACAACTGAGTTTAATTCCTGACTGGCTTGGCAGTGCTTGAGACAAGGGGTGGGGTTTATAATCAGGTGACTTATGATCATTATTGGGAGGCCTCAGGTGTAGCATACAACGTATGTATGTAGCATACAACTCGCCTGCGAGTCCGGATAGTGAGAACCAGTGAGCTCTGGGGAATTACAGCCAAACTAGAACATCTCGTTCACATATTCGGATGAGCACATTCTTAGGATTGAACTCGGGACAATCCTGGCCACATGGCTCACTTCTGGTGATGTAATTACCCACCATGCCATCCGCTGGACCAACTGTCCTACCTTAGCAATCTCTACCAATGCTCTTCGCGGAAGGAAAGGATCGATTAATGTGTCGTAAGAATTGGTTGTGTTGATCCTTGTGAAAAACTGAAGTCTAATACAGCAGAGTTACGATGATGCAATTTGGGATTATTCGTTTTGATTTCGATGATTTTGCACTTGCTTTAGGGGGAGTGAAGAGGCATTGTCCAATGAAGATTGCGAGAATGTTTATCATCTGGTCTACTCGGCACACCGGCCTGTCGCTGTGGCAGCAGGAGAATTCTTGAACAAAAAGTGAGTATCACAAAGGCAACTTTGTTATATGAGACAAAGGTGTCAATGGGGGCACTTCACTGGACACTGCACTTCAATTTAGGTTTGAATCTCACTTTGTGCAGCCTTTACTGATCTAATCTGGAACAGTGACCACCGACCGACGTGTTACAATTAGACTGGTTTTAAAATCTTGCTTTAACTAGTTTTGTTGTCTTGTTCATGGCCTTGCTCCCCACTGCCTCTGCGACCTCCTAACCTCCTAGCAACCTGTCAGCTCCCTCTGCTCGGCGTGCTCCGTCCAACCTGCTTCACGTCCCCCACCTCGCCCACCCCACCATTAGCAGGCAGGCCTTCAGGCACTCTGCTCCCAGCCTCTGGAGCTCCATCCCGCAGTCCCTCTGCCTCGCCCCCTTCCTTGCCTCTTTCAAGAACCTGATCTTCAACCGTGCCTTCGATCACCTTCCTTCCCCATCACTTTCCCCCACTCACCGCTCTCCCAAATCCACCCCAGTTTGGGCCTGAGACGATAGTCCAGTGCCTTGGAACATCCTCCCGACGTGAAAGGCGCTTTACAAATGTAGTTTTGTTGTTGTTGTTAACCCTCTATGCTGTAAAAGTTCAATATTTTCAATTTGTGTTGTTATAAAAGTAACTTCTTGGTCCCCATCAGTCATGAATTCAATGACAGTATGAAATCGATACAGCAGGTGGCAGCACGGTCCAAAACATCACCTGGCAGTCTCCACTGGATGGCAACATTGAGGGAAAATGTTAAATTGGTTGGAAAAACAAGAGGAAAAACCTTGTTTTCAGCCTTCTAGATTTCCCTACCAACTTGCCCACTCCCTCTGTTCAGCAGGCTCTGGTCTGCTCCATGTCTCCCGCCTGACCCGCCCTACCATCGGTGGCCGGGCATTCAGCCTCTCTGCCCCCACACACTGGAACTCCATCCCACGGTCCCCTCTCCTCGCTTCCTCCCTCGCCTCCTTCAAGGCCGTTATCAAGACCCATCTCTTCGACCGTGCCTTTGGTCTCCCTCCCACCTCTCTGCCTTCCCTCTCCCCTACATCATCCCTCCCCCATGGTCGGGCCTCGACACCTGACTGTTCAGCGCTTTGGGACGTCCTCCCGACGTGAAAGGCGCTCTATAAATGTCATTTTGTTGTTGTTGACAACAGCAATACATATGATTAGTTCAATCAAATATACCATTAAGCTTTGGAAAACTAAGCTTTATTTTGTGCCATTATTTTGACCGGGAGCATACATTGCACTTAATACTTTGAGCATAAATAGTCATCTTAATTTTGTTTTTTCCTCTCATAATTTAAGAAAATATATTTGTACCTTTCACAATCAGCAGAAATGTATGCTGCAGACCAAGAATTGTGAAAGCTTTCAGGGAGGATTTGTAACTCAGTTTTCTTTCCTCCCACAAAAACAAAACAAACTTTCACTGTTATGCCATCTCTATTATGTTGGTATTAACTTGTATCTATGTGAGAGAAAGGAATAACCCAAAGTGCTTCCTGAGCTGCTATAATTTGAAATAATTTTTGTTATTCAAATTGGACAGCATGATTTGTCTGATTTCAAGCAATTAGGAGATAGTGTCTTACACCTCTTACTTAATTTTTAGATTGTTCAGCAGACATGATCCCCAAGCTGAGGAAGCCTATGCAAAGAGCAGAGGAAGGCACAGTCCAAATGGAAATCTTATTAAAATGTTGGTTCTTTTCTTCCTGGAAAGTGAGGTAAGGTTCGGAAATCCCAGAGGGGAAAAAGTCTATTGATGGAAAGGAATGTAACCAATATAAAGGAAAACTTGATGTATTACAGCAAAACTGTCTAGTTTTTGCAACCCGTTAAGTCGCTTGTTATCATAAGACCTGTTATACCTGGAGCATAGTTCATTATTATCCAACAATCACCATGATAACTGACGTCAGAGAGATGCATAGAAAAATGCTGTGTGGTCCAAAGATCAAAGAACTTTAGCAAGAGGTGCCAGTGTTTTTTAAGATTCCTCTGTTCCTTCCCTTGCCCCACTCGATATTTTACTGCATCTCCCTTCAATTAAGCGTAATGTTGATTATAAACTGTTTAGATTTATAAATGAAATACAAATAAACCTTTGAAGGTATGATTTCTAAATTAGCACGAGGGTAATGCATTGTGTTCTTAAAATTGTAACCTTTCAGTTGCATGAACATGCAGCCTACCTGGTGGACAGCCTGTGGGAAAGTTCCCAGGAACTTCTGAAGGATTGGGAATGTATGGCTGAACTGCTGATGGAAGAACCGATACAAGGAGAGGAAGGTAACTTTAGGAAATACCAAAAATGCAAAGTCTTGCACTGATGGTGTAGATTGGTCATAATTCAAATCATTGTTTAATAGTGTACATGTTAAAACTTCCCCGAATATAGGTCAGTTAACTGTTTTTGTGGTCACATTTCAAAGTAATGTTTACTTTCACTTGAGTTAAGCAGTATGCCAGTGATTTATGAAATATGTGCAAAACTGCAGTGAACTGAACAAAATATAAAACTCCTCACAACATGCTCGGTAGTGCTTCATACTGGCACAGAAGAAGGAGGAGCTCCATCCAGTCGATATGGATCAGTGAGACTAAATTGAAGGGTGGGCATTTCTCCAGATTTTGTCGTGGCAGTCGCAAATAACCACTGCACTTGCAACTTGAATAAGCAAAGTGGAAGATACATTGACGCCTGTCCAATTTGCAATTTAGAATTAACCTAACTTTTACAAGGTATCCGCTCACCCACAAAAGAAATGGAACGTATCAATACCTGGAGTTGTGCACAAATTGCAACCTTTTACCATGTTTGTGGCATATACTCGAGGTGTATTGATACAATTCTGTATTTGCAAAACAAAAGTAATTTGTTTTGGTTTCAGCAACGTGCTTTAGTTTTATCTGGTACTCATGCAGGTGGTCAAGAGAAGCATTGTATAACTGGTTTGATTTTTATTAGGGATGTCTGAAAGACAGGAGAGTGCACTTATAGAGCTTATGGTCTGTACAATTCGTCAGGCTGCAGAGGCACATCCTCCAGTTGGAAGAGGAACTGGTAAAAGGGTAAGTGTTGTACTTCACCTTAAATAAACAGTAGAAGGATCTTTGGTTTACCTCAAACAAGATCTGAATTTTAGGTATATAGAAATATTTAGAATTTCATGTTTTTTATAACTTCTATCAATTTTTTATAGAGTGAATTTACTTTTATGGTGACACTCTCTGGCCCACTCATATTGAGAAAGCCATACTGTCTGCTAGATTTTCGTTTCTGATCTTATTCCATTTGTTATATTTCTCTAGCAGAGACTGTACATCTCATAAAAGTCCATGCATGACATCGGGTATCTGTGAAGTAGCTTGAGATGGTTTGATGTTAGAAGAGTTATATCAAATGGAATGATTATGGTCTTATTATTTATATGAATGGGCTTACATATTTGACTTCACACCTGTAGACCTAAATGTATTAGCTGTAGATGCTAAATTAAATGTACTTTCAGTGTTTGACATCTACACTTTTTATAGGTCTTAACTGCAAAGGAGAGAAAAACGCAGATTGACGACAGGACTAAATTGACAGAACAGTTTATCGTGGTACTTCCTATGTTATTGGGAAAGGTAACTCTTTTGCTTTGTATCGGAGCAGTATGTTCTAATTGTTCTGTAATGAACTGTAATTGTTCAGATGGCAATTGCCTCACTTTGCTTTACAGTGAAAGTGACATTGAATTCTGATATTTCTCTGTTGTAGTATTCAGTTGATTCTGAAAAGGTGGCAAACCTGTTGCAAATTCCTCAATATTTTGACTTGGAACTCTACAGTACAGGCAGAATGGAAAAGGTATTTATTGCCCACAATTATCCAATATTCTACCTTCGAATGTGTAATGCCGAATAGTTGCATGTGATTAAATTATAAAGCAGTCATTTTATTTCCAGATTCAGATAGGATAGCATAAACCGTGACACATTTCCAGTATTTTGTCAGTTATAATTGGAGAAAGATAAAATTGCTTCGGCATCAAAATGCACTGAGTCTTGACTATTAAATTATTGTATATATGTAAATACCATTTTGCCTCAATATGTTTTCTTTCTTACAGCATCTCGATTCATTGCTGAAACAAATCAAGTTTGTTGTTGAGAAGCACATTGAGTCGGATGTCTTGGAATCGTGCAGTAAAACATATAACATCCTGTGCAGTGAAGAATACACAATCCAGAATCGAGTGGACATTGCTCGCAGTCAGATGATTGATGAGCTGGTAGATCGATTCAGTCAGTCAGTTGAAGACTTGTTGCAGGAGGTTAGTTCAAAGTCTTTAAAATAATTAAATTTGATCACCGTGGTAGAAATGTAAAGACTTTGTTTTTTTTAATCCCAGTGAATAGGTCTGCTATAAATCCTTGCACTTTTACCAATGGTGGTTTGAAAATTGTGTTGAATTTCTTCTTATCTGCCTAACACAAAGGCATTGAATATTACTTAGTACAGTTCCGTGCAGTTCCACAGGATAAAGGGATAAAATTGGAGGAAAAGAATATATTGTTTAATGTATAAATATGAATTTTAATACAAATTTTATTTGGCTGTATTATATGAGCTTGTTACAACAATTTCATCTGTAAAATCACAGGGAGAAGAAGCAGATGATGATGATATATATAATGTACTCTCTACTTTGAAGAGATTAACAGCCTTCCACAAGTAAGTGCAAATCTATGCTTTATTCACACATTAATTTAATTGAGGAATATCAATAATTGAGGTATTCCCCCTCAATTATGAAGGGAAGAGATTCAGGGGTGGGGAAGGGAGGTTGCACCTTCTGCAAACTGAAATTGTGACAATTTGTGCCGCATTGGAGAGATGTACTGGAAAGCTGAGAGCCACCAAACTCATACTATTTGTTGCTCTTTAACACCACCTTGCATCTGTAGAGGTGTGAGAGTAAGTCTCTACCTCCTTCCCCCATGTCAGAGAAGGTGCATGTTATGGGGAAGACTATTCAGTGTGAAAACTAACAATAAATGTGTGGTCTTCTGAATAACGTTAACAATACTGAATGAGTATCTTTGAAAAATGCTGGTGTATTTAAAGAGGAAAAACGCTTAAAAAGTAGAGTTCCACAATAATTAGCATTATTTTTATTCTAGTGCTCATGATCTTACAAAATGGGAACTATTTGGAAACTGCTATAGGCTTCTCAAGAGTGGAATTGAGCTTGGATCCATGCCTGAACAGGTAAGAAGCCATTATAAAACAACCTACTTTTGGTCCATAATATCATTTGCATTTTGCTTTTGTGGATGAATAAATGAAGGAAATACTTCAAATGTTTTTAGAAGTGGTTTTGCGATCAGGTGATGTGTAGTATTTTATGTGTTTAAACAGTGGCTTTTCTGTTCATCTTACTCCTGCAGATAGTGGTACAAGCCCTACAGTGCTGTCACTACTCAATTCTCTGGCAGTTGGTCAAGATAGCAGAAGGCTCCCCGACTAAGGTGAGGACATAAGCGGGAGTGGGCATGAACTACAGAGATCTGAATAATCTGCAGCTTGTGGAGGGAAGAGTTGGATGAGCAGGGAGTTAGCATTGTCAAGCCTGGATATAAGGAAAGCATGGATGAGGGTCTCGGCAGCCCGAGGGGAGAGGTAGTGGTGGAGGTGGGCAATGTTGTGAAGTGGGGGAAGGCAGACCATGTCATGGCATGGATGTGGAAACTCTGGAATATGTAAATTCAATGTAATCCTTGTAAAAGTGAAGTGCGAATCTTCCTTAATTCTCCATATCATTGAATTGTGGTTATAATAATAATAATAATCCTTGCATTTGATATAGCGCTTTTCACGTCGGGAGGACGTCCCAAAGCGCTTCACAGAATATACTGTAAAGTGAATTGACTGTATATTTGTGGGCGAACGCGGCAGCCAATTGTGCACAGCAATGTCCCACAAACAGTCGTAGATTGAAAATGACCAATTTATTATTGTTTTTGGTTTTTGGAGGGATTATTATTAGGCGTGTGGAGTTCTGCTATAGATGCCTCTTAAGTTTAGTTGCAATCCATTGAATATGCTGTTCTGTCTTTCAGGAGGAGCTAATTGGTTTGAGAAAAACACTGAAAGCATTTTGCATCATCTGTCAGCACTGCTTGACAAATGTCAACCCCTCTGTCAAAGAACAGGTAGAGAGTTTCTTAAAACTATTATGCTTGTAACATTTTATTTTACCAGTAAGTACTCATAATGTTATTTAATGAGTAGAATGTTCAACTGTTCAAATAAATATTTTTTTTTAGTTTCCTAGCAAGCAAATAAGCTGCTGAAAAAGCTACATTTGAATCCTGAACATATTTTTGTTCAAACATTTAAATTTGTGGTACCTGCAGAAATAAAAGTTTTAAGATGTATTATTCTTAGAATAAATTCTAAAATATTGATCCTTAACAGTCATTCAATTTTCAGTACTGTTTAGAGGTGCTCTTGGTGTTTCCAGTAATGTTATTTTGTTGCATCCTAGGCCTTCATGCTGCTTTGTGATCTCCTGATGATATTTAGTCACCAGCTGACAACTGGTGGCAGGGATGGACTCAAGCCTCTTGTTTACAACCCAGATACTGGGTTACAGGCTGAGTTACTCAGCTTTGTAATGGATCATGTTTTTATTGATCAAGATGAGGAGAACCAGAGCATGGGTAAGGACCAATACATTTACGGTAAAATAGAAATTTAACATCATTTAAATTGAAATATGAGTTGGGGAGGAGAGAGTCCATCCTATCAATGCACTATATTAAATACTTTTCACTTGCTTCAGTACAGTTTTGCTGTAATCATCAGTGCAGATATTTAAACATGGTTTATTTGTATTTTGCAGAAGGAGACGAGGAAGATGAAGCAAACAAGATTGAGGCATTGCACAAAAGAAGGAACCTCCTGGCAGGTTTCTGCAAACTTATCATTTATGATGTGGTGGATATGAATGCTGCTGCAGACATTTTCAAGCACTACATGAAGGTGTGTTTTCAGAAAAAAAGCAGAACGTAGTTAGTTGGAAAGTAACCACGTAATTAACTTGAATGCATGTGGTGGTACTTTTGTTGTCAATGCTAATCTGTACAGTTTGTGAAAAGCCTATTGAATTAACTAGTAGTTCCATTTTGTGATACAACCTTTGTTTATGTTGCTGTCAGTGGAAGATGAATGCTAGGTATCTTAAATGTGGTATCGTTTTGATAGAGGATGATTGACAACAGGAGGATTTTACTCAGGAAACAGGCTGTGATACTTCTGTTTGTGTTCTTTTTTTGTTAGTATTACAATGACTATGGAGATATCATTAAGGAGACATTGAGTAAAACGAGACAAATTGACAAGATCCAATGTGCCAAGACACTTATTCTCAGTTTACAACAGGTGAGGACTTTGATTGGCTCAACAACAAATACTTGTATTCACTTTACTTGAAAATGTGTGCGAAGTGAAACACTAATTGATGATTAAAATTCTGTAATTATATTTTAGCTCTTTAATGAGCTCATCCAGGAACAAGGTCCTAATCTGGACAGGTCGTCTGGTCATGTCAGTGGTATTAAAGAACTCGCTCGCCGATTTGCTCTTACATTTGGTCTGGATCAAATTAAGACGAGAGAAGCTGTTGCTACCTTACACAAGTGAGTAGTGCTGTAATATCTAAAGTGCCTTATGTGTTGGCAAGTTATTCTTCACTTAAAGCACTGCTGAAGGGTGACATTTGAATGCAGGTTCTTAACTTGTAAGTCTAATGCTCTTTACATTCCTCAAATTGCATTTTAATTAAAACTGGAATAAGCTTGGAATCAAAAGGACTATTTTGTATAAGGTGGTCATTGAATTGAATACATTGTAAAGCTTAGCACAGTACAGAATCTATAAAAGACATTTATGTTTTCTAACAAACAGGGATGGCATAGAATTTGCTTTTAAATATCCGAATCCTAATGGAGCAGACTTCCCTCCGCCAAACCTTGCCTTCCTGGAGATTCTCGGTGAATTCTCTTCCAAGCTTCTCCGCCAGGACAAGAAGACTGTGTAAGTAAAAGATATTGGTGAAGAAAATTGCAATCAGGAATTAGGCTTTCTGCTTCCTTTTAGCTTGGGCTGACTGCAGATAACTACAGAACTTCCATCGTCAGTGTCACTAAGATTAGGTAACTCAGCCTTATTGGGCTTTATTACTTCGACTTATACTGTCCACTGCATTCATCAATAATATAGTGGGTATAAAAATGCAGATTATTATATGGTGAACCCGGCAATACTTTAATTTACTTTTGTAACTCAACCATGTTTATTTTTTATTTTAAGATAAATAAGTCTGTGTTGGGGAGAGAGAATGCATTGACAAATGCATAACCTGTTATGCAAAGAAATCTACTTTTGGAGTTACCGTTTCACCATACATTGTCGATATATCTGAATCGGTGGCACATGGTTTTGCAATGTGTAACTCTTAACATGTTTGATGTGTAGTCATGCATACCTGGAGAAGTTCATGTCTGAGCAGATGATGGAACGAAGAGAGGATATTTGGCTGCCTCTTATATCTTATCGCAACTCGCTGCTTACTGGTGGTGATGATGACAGGATGTCAGTGATCAGTGGAGGCAGCAGTAGCAAAGCCTCCACAGTACGCAGCAAGAAAGGGCGTCCGCCACTTAACAAGAGGAGGACAGATGGTAAGTAACGTTTTCAAAGGATGCTGCCGATTTAGTTGACATTTTCAGTCATTTAGCATATTTTCTTTCCTTCATCACTAGCTTTTTATATATGTAAAATGTGAATATTTTAATAAAAAGCAATTATTCTTTATTCCCTATACAATGAATTCATGAAATACTGATTTTCCATTTTACAACCCAAGTTCAGAATTGAACCTCTCAAAAGTTCGATCTGAATTCAGAAGAAGCTTCAACTTTAATCAGGAGGTAAATTGTATGAGGCTTAAGATATTTCTCTTGGTTTTGTAGAAGAGAGTGTGGATGGCTCATGGTTGACTAGGAATGATAGCATACAGACTCCAGGAGTCTTGCAGGCACCACAGCTAACCTCCACAATCATGCGGGAAAATCCCCGACAAGCAGCAGAACACATGGAGGATCAGGAATCCGAACGAGGATCTGAATCTGATTTTGTACAGAAGTAAGCAAAGACTTTACTGGTGACAAATCTTCCCTGTAGTTCAGTAGTTAAAGTAGTGAAAATGAGTTATTGTATGGATTGGTGCATGAATTTAACATCCTCTTGAGAGACTTGTATTCCATCTGTAAATTCTTGGGCAATGTGTGCTTTTCATACAGAATTTGATTTAATCAGGTTTATTGCTGTGTTTTAGCCCTCAGATGCAGATGTCTTGGTTGGGCCAGCACAAGCTGGAGGAGGCTCACCGAAAGGACAGGGTGGCCATGAACTATATAAAAGCCAGAGGTGGTGTAAGGCAGTCAGTGTAAGTTTAAAAACCTACTTTTTCAGAGACTTTAAATACCACATTGGGACGTGTAGATGTTTCTACACATGGATAACGGCAGGAAATAACATCAGCAGCGCTTGCTGTCTGAAAGGCGTGAGGAATCGTGTCAGCGGTGATCTGTCAACCTGGACATTGGACATTTTTGTGCTTGGGGATTTGACCTTATGGACCTAGCCCACAGTTATAACAGGATTGCCCTGTACTTAGTTCCTCACTAGTCCTTTTTTTTAGAATAAATAATTACAAGCCTGTATGGGAATGCCTATTTTTAATCAATCTAATTTTGTTTACATCAGAATAATGCTTTTAAAAGCATTATTGCTTCACACTGTTGATTGTTTAGCTTTTAAAACGTAGTGGCAGTAACTATAACAGACAGAAACTTGGATGGTCTGTATTGCTGGCTTCCTGGCTGTTATGTAATCATTCTATTTTTCTGGTTGCAGCCGTAGCCACAGTTTGATGGAAGATGATGCTGAACCAATTTTTGAAGATGTGATGATGTCATCAAGGGGTCAGCTGGAGGATATGAATGAGGAATTTGAAGATACAATGGTTATTGATCTGGTCAGTGCTGATCTGTGTTTATCAAATAAATTAGAATTGTTAGAAACATGATGCACTAAATTGTAAACATCAAACTAGTGTAGTGTCAGTTTAAAAGTATGGAGTGCCGCAAGCAATAATCATCACTGGCTTAGGATTTTCTTTGCATACATTTTTTATGACTATCAATTTCTACTTGCACCAGCTGCCAGTTCAAATTTAAGGATCATTAAAATGGAAATGTGAGAGGTTTGTTTAGTCCATGATGAGATTAACCGAGTTCACAGTATTGAATTTGATGTGACTTTACACCTACTTTGTCAGTTTAGCTATTAGGAAATGTGCATTGTCATACCAAGTGATGGAAGATTGGCTTGTCTTATTTCATAGTCTAAATTGCTTGTGATGTAAAATGCTAACAATATATAACCCATTTGTTTAAAAATAATAACCTTCTTGTCTGAATGGTCGAAAAGCTATTATACCAGACGGCCTTAACTGTTATCTTTTTGCTGGCCCCCTTTTTATTTGATCCAGAATGTCAGCGCAGAACCAAATTTTTCAAAATGTGGTCAGAAGTGAGACTTGAAATTAAAAGATTTTTTTTGCAATAGAGTAGTGCATATCTAATAACATCTCATATAACAACATCTCAGTTAAAACAGTCGACTCCTTATTTCAAAATATTGCTTGGGATTTAAATTGAATGCTGCATTGAATAGACTGCACAGCGCTTGGTCTATGGAAGGCAAGAAGTTGCTAGGCTGCCTCGTGCCATGCTTGCTTGTGTTTTGATTGACCAGTATAATAATAATAATGACCAGTCTACTCTAATAACCAAGAAAATTATTCTTGCAGCCTCCATCTCGGAACAGACGTGAACGAGCTGAACTCAGACCAGATTTCTTTGACTCCACTGCCATAATGGAAGATGATTCGGTGTGTATCAAGGAATACTTCATCTATGATTCATTGTCAAATAATCATAAATAATTAACCGTTTTGAGTATGCCCTTTACAATATTTTGACATGCAAGTAAATTTGACTCAAATACCGTATAGAATTGGATATATTATAAATAACTCAGAAAATTTATATTCTAAGTGTTTTCCAAATAAACGGATGATTTATTTTTAAAAGAATAATTAGGTTCAGAATTGCTATCCATGTCCTCAAAGGATTAAATACTTATAGTCTCAGTTGTCTAATATTTAGTTGAGCTTTATCCCTTTACTTATCTCCCTCGTTTAATGTTAACATAATATTTTGCCCACAAAGTATACGGTCAATTCACTTTACAGTCTATTCTGTGAAGCGCTTTGAGACGTCGAGAAGACGTAAAAAGCGCTATATCAAATGCAAGGATTATTATTCAAGTTGCTGTTGCATTGTTAATGTACTTCAGTGTAATTTGTTTATTCCATCCAAACATATTAAGTCAAAATTCTCCCTCTTCTCACTTCCCCCAAAGTTGATCAGCACCTGTTGTTAATTGTCTAATGGGATTGTTTTAGGTCAAAGTGTGTAATTATTTTGGTAGAGCTGAAAAGTACTTTCAGTCTTCATATTTTCCTTTTTAGACACTTAAAAAACCTACTCTTAAATTCTGTTTTTAATACTGATGTTAGGAGATGAAGTGAGAGATAATTCATCTTCCACTCCCCACTCCAATTTAAAAAAAAACCAAGGCTACCCGTTTTGTATTGTGACAATTTCTAAATGTAAAGCTCTTATTTGTAAATGCAAACCTGTTAATTCTGTTATTCTTTTAAAATAATTATTGGCTGCAGAAGCTAATGTACTTACTCTGCTTTGATATATGTAAGAAATTCTAAATGAAATGTACATTTGTAACGTGGGTTTGTAAATTTAGTTTTTGTCATGCAGAATATTTCATGTGAATCTAAGGGAACATTATTTTCTCATGTGCTTTTTATTTTCTTTCCCTCAGGGTTTTGGAATGCCTATGTTCTGAGAGGCTGCTGGAAGTTTTATATTTTTAAGAACTCCATCGTCTAAAGAGAATCCAAGGTCTAAAATACTGTGACAGCAACTTTTAAACTAAATTTTACATATTCAAGATCTGATTTATTTTTTATCAAAGGATAAACTTGATGAAGATTTGATTATGATAAATGGGGACACCTGAAGGAGGAAGCAGTATAAATGGTCTGTTGCTGATGCAGACTGTTCCTATGGACCGAAAAAATGCATCTTCCTGGGAAGGCTTACGTCCCAAAATGATCTGACAAACAGACTGTACCACTGCTGGGGAGTGCTAACAGTAGGATTTTAAAAAAAGTTATATATATCAACCAGGAATAAATTGTATTGAAATCATGAAGGCATATTTAAAAAAAAATAGGGTGGCACATACAGCAGTTGACACCAAACGTACAGAATAATTCCCTATGAGTTTTTGTAATTTTTTTCTGCTGTACAGTTTAATATAAAAAGATAAGTTTTGAGATCAGCAGTTTATGTTATGTTTTTTAATTCAAGCTTAAATTTTTCAGAAGGCAAAAAAAAATGCTGAAAAATTAGGTCAGGAGCAAGGCAATTTTCTCACACTGGAGTTTGGTTTCTTTGTGGTATGCATTAATTTTATTGAGAAGGTGGGATAGGATAAACGGAAAGCAATTGAAAAGCTTCTATACAGTACATGTATAAATGAGGGGCGGGGTTAGAAATGTGACATTGCTGCCACGTATCACTGGTAACACCGAGTAATCCAGAGGTTTTTTCTTATTAAAATCTGTATGGCTCCTGCAAGCTATTTCCTATCATAATAAAAGCTGCCTTATTTACTGTGAAGACTACTCATTAGCTGATTTAAGTTCGACTTCAGCAGAGTTGAGATGTTTAATAGCTCTGTGCATTTTGCTTTTACTTTTAATGCTCAGAACTTGACAGGAATTCGGGAGCTAGGAAATCGTCTTCTGAAATACAATTGGCTGCAAAGTGTTTATGAACAGATAACATATCAAGGCACAATGTCTTGTTTTTAAAAAGCAGTTCCAAAAAAATCAGTGTATCCCTCCTAAAGGTGTAAAATTTGGGTCAAAACCACATTTCATAATTAAATTCTGATGAGCAGTTGCCCTTGATTCCAGACTTTGTGTACAGTCATGATCAATACCCACTTTTTGACTTTCAAAATTGTTTAAATGTACTTTTGCAGATATGTTAATTTTATACAAAACAGATTTCAGTAATCGACTAAATGGAGGATTGACCCTTCTGTGCTAGAATGTGTGTTCCATCTGTCTTGCTTCTGGTCAAATTGCTTACCTTCAGATTTTAATTCTTCTTTTAATGACTTTTTTCCACCTAATTGTATACTTACAGCTAGTGTCAGAAATGAAATTAATTTTGAGAACTATGGTTTTACATTTTTAACACTCAATTTCAACTGGAAGGGCAGTCTCCTATATAGAAATTGACTATTTGACACAAAATTTCACAATACAAAAACTAATCAAAGAATCTCAAGTGAAATTGTTTGCTGAAAATATTTGAAAGCTACTGTAGTAAATGGAAAGAATATTACATAATAAATTTTAACTTTTGCTCACGTTTTGAAAAGTAGTTGTAACTTTAGGTTTTAAATTCTAAGGTCATATGAGTCATTTACTAATCTACCATTAAGTAATTTAGATGAACAGAAAATCTGATTTTAAAGGTCGACTTTTTGGTAGTGTTAGTAAGCAGTCGTGAAAATATGCGATATTGGTTAGTTTTGTACAGTACTTCTCAGACTAAACTGTCAATGATCTGATCTAGTTCTGTGGACTGAGTGGTGCATCGCTAGGTACTGCATGGTTAGAACCATCTCTGCATTGAAACTTACACTGTGCGGTAAACTATTTAAACCTAAAGTCTTGGCAGTATTGTAGCAGAATGTGAAACGGTGGTTTCATGTTGGGTACCTCCATGCTGGGCTCGAAATTGAGTTTGAAGTTAATACGTTTTATATTTTGAGTGTTACCTTGATTGGTTTTACTAGTAATACTGTAAATTGTACATTTTCAGTATAAAATTTCTTTTTGTACATTTTAAAGCTGATGCTTCACCTTTCCTTTAATAAACTGTTTCAAAAAATCTGTCGAGTCCTTTTGGTATTAAATTTTGAACGCATTTACTTAGAGCACCTTGAATGAGGTGTCCAACTCCTTGTGCAACACAATAAATCTTCCCAGACCCTCTATAACAAGGAATTTATAAAACACTGGATCTTAGCTGTCGTACCCTCTTGGGAGTTGCTGAGCTGTCACATGTGGCTGTGAAAAACTAGTTGAAAAAAAATCCTCTTAACATTTTTACTATACAATTGAGTTAAAAATGGTTTTTAAGTCTTGGACTCCATTAAATTTAATATTTAAATCCATTTCGCAATCTCTTTTATGTAACCATAATGTTGTTTGCACTCTCGGTCCTAAACATACGTTTTACTTTGACTCGGATCAACTCCTTAAGTAGTACAGAGGACACCACTATAGACAAACATTCTCAACAAAGTGTTTCTGGCAGCTACCCACCTTTTATTGCTCAGTGACATTCATTAACATAGGATGCATTTGAGTCAATTCTAAATAGTTTTAAAAAAAGCTGTTTTTTTCTTGAATGATGGGTGCATTCAGGCATTTTTAGGTTAAGAAATCTAATAAAATTGCATTGTTTTAGGAGTCCTATTTTCAAACTTATTACAAGGGGATATTGCCATGTTTTTTCCAGGGGTTGTTCAATTTCTTGTTAGCCAACATTTCCAGGTCTCTGCAAATACGCATTCGAGTGGATGATGGTTGAATTATGTCATCGACAAAACCTGTGGGGTCAATGAACAAAAGTGATCAGTTAGAACAAGCCTCAGACAGTTACTTCGATCCATCTGGATGCACAAGCTAATCCAAGAATAACATTCCTTGACGTATTGATCACACCGAAGCAGGGGGGGGGGGGGATTTAAAGTGATTCATGTAGCCTACTGGAATGTAATCCATCTCGAGTATATTCAATGGTAAACTATTAACGAAATGTATAAAAAGCTTTTTTAAGAGCGTACAGAACACAACACATCTTCCCTGAAACAATATTGCACAAGATCAGCAGAGACTATAGTGGACTGACTGGGCGTTCCTAAAGTTTGAAGAGCACTATGTGACACGGTTTCCACCTAGTTTTGAACCACGTAAAGAGAAAAAGATGTTCATGTAAACCACTTGCCTCGTATTGCTGCTGGGAATGGATTTGCAAAAGTCTCCACATATTCTGCCTCTGCCGCCTCTTTGCTGTGGTTTCCTTTAAAGATGATCTGTACAGCACCCTAACATAATGGGAAAAAGTTCAAAATAAACCAAACAAATGAAGTCAAAAATGTATCCATAATAAAACCTTAACCCACAGGATCAGACTCAATCATCAAACCGCAACACAGAAAGAATGCACGTGGCTCGGAGTAAATCATCAATTTATACTGCATCTACCTCATCTATCAATCAAACCGTACACATACATAAAGCACTGTCAATTGCAGTCACTGTTTATTTTTTCTTGACATTAAAGCCCTGAAACAACCCATCACACATTTTCAGCAACACCAATCTTGCCTTCGTATAATGAAACTTAAATCCAACAAACTAATAAACCCCACAATCAGAATGTAACAATTACAGCGATAACTTACTTTAGCGATAACTTACTTTAGCTCCCATAACCGCAACTTCAGCTGTAGGCCAAGCGTAGTTCAAATCACCTCGTAAGTGCTTGGAGCTCATTACGTCGTATGCACCACCGTATGCCTGCCAAGCACAGTTTATGAATTGAAACAATTTGTTTTAGAAAAATAACAAGGTGTAAAATTTACTGGATTTCACCATTCAGAAGTCCCTTGCATCAGTTACCAATACACCACTGGATTATTATTATAATAATAATAATAATCCTTGCATTTGATATAGCGCTTTTCACGTTGGGAGGACATCCCAAAGCGCTTTACAGAATATACTGTAAAGTGAATTGACTGTATATTTGAGGGCGAACGCGGCAGCCAATTGCGCACAGCAATGTCCCACAAACAGTCGTAGATTGAAAATGACCAATTTATTATTGTTTTTGGTTTTGGAGGGATTATTATTAGGCTCTGTGTGGAGTAAGGAAACTTGCCCAAGGTTTCGCCCTGACCTGCCTGGAATTGAACTCAGGTCTTTCGCTTGTAAAGCGAGTGCTCTAACCACTGAGCTACAGGACTCCATTATTGCCTTATACATACCTAAAACACACTAATGTAGGAACAGATAGCAAAGCAATGAATCTGATTAATAGATTATGCATTATTAGGGATCAGCGGCTGACATATCACAATTTTTAAACGTATTACAGATAACACCACAGACTATCAAATGCATCATCTTATTTCAAGACTATCAGACTACACTGCCTGCTCCTACCTTCCGTGTAATCACTGTAATCTTAGGCACAGTAGCCTCAGCAAACGCATACAATAACTTCGCACCATGTCTGATGATTCCACCATACTCCTGGCTCGTTCCTGATTAATTAAAACACATTGTGGAATATATCAATTGGAAGGAAAACACAAATTGATTGAAGAGTAGGGCAGAGGAAAGTGCAAGAAAATACTTTGAGAAATTACAAAGAACAGTAACATACAAAGTTACATTGGCTGTACACAGGTATCTCCTAAAACGGAACAATAGTGGGTTACTATTTACTGGAGGTCTCTGGCTCACTTTTCAGGTATACTGGCAACAGCTGGTGCCTGCAAAACAGCAATCTTTCAATGATTAATGAAAAACTTTCAGGTGATAGAATTCCACTGGTGAGTTAGTTCACAGGCTCCATGATTGGTTTCTGTTCTCCATTGTGTGACTGAGTAAGCAGAGACAGCAATTCTGAGGCAGACAAATTGCCATCAAATAAAAAGGCTTTTGAACAATCTCTCTCCATTAGAGAAAACATGTAAGTACATGAAAATATTCATACTTAAACTTGTGTTTAATTTGTAACTGAAATAATAAAAATCAGGGCTAAGGACTGGAATCAGTGCATTAAATACAACGATATCTTTCACTGTGATTAAAAGCAATATAATACTCACTAACTTACTTCCAAATTGTCCATTACATGGTCTTTAGCTTTTATTCAGGGTAATTTGAACTAAGTGGTTATCAAGTCAAAAGTGTTCAATTGGCCAATAGTGCACTATCAAGAGCAGCAGAACAGGTACAGACATACACATAGACACAGAGATTACACCGATTAAATTTAACAATTGAAATAGAGAAAAGTGGTCGTTGAATTCAAACTGTAAATATTGTTACCTGGTAGAAAACCAGGGACGTCCACAAATGTCATGATCGGTATATTGAAGGCATCACAGAATCGCACAAATCGAGCTCCTTTTACTGAAGAATTGATGTCCAGACAACCTGAAAAATCCAAACACAAATCAGCTTTTTTTTTACAAATCAGATTTTTAAGCTTCAGTAACACCAAAAAAATTCAGCAACTCACCCGAAGCCACTTTAGGTTGGTTACCGATGATTCCCACGGTTCGTCCATTCATCCTGGCAAAACCCACGATGATGTTCTTTGCATAGTTGGGCATGATTTCAAAAAAGTCCCTTTCGTCCACAATCTAAAGCACAGGCAAGTTGGGTGGTGGTTTTAGAAAATTGAACTGTATTGAAACAAACAATCGTATTTATATTTGAATACTTCACGCCAGCACTTCAGAAAGAAGAACTGTGCTGATATTTCACACCATTCTTTCTAAAGCAATTTTAACGCTGGTCTCAGAGCAATGTTTACAAAGCAATTAAAAAATCGTACTTACTTCACGAATAATATCCAACATATCATACGCCTTTGTAGATTCTAAGGGAACTATGGTATCCAATCCAGGCACCAAACGGTCGCTTTACAGATATAAAGGCAAAGCTGAATGTTAGTTTTCTTACAGTTTGTCAACTGTTTTGTGTAAATATATCAGGGCTGGAACCATACTATAAAATGGATATTTGAAAATAAGGTGGCAATTTGCAACACAATATTTGATATTTTACATTTTTACGATAAATATTGTTTTTGAATGCGAGTTAAATGTGAGTTCCCCTTCTATAAAAAATGACTACCGCAATCACTGATGTTTTTTTCAGAATGTACAACTCCATGTGGCCACTGGAGGGCCTCGTGTCCATTGCAGCAATGAAGCGAGAGGACACAAACAGGGGTGGGATTCTCTAAACAGCCACTGGAGGGCAGACTTTCTCTGCACCTATCCATTTGCTGAAAACCTCTACCGGTAAACTTAACGCATAAAACGTTTTATATTGGAAGGAAAATGTTAAGGCCGATATGATCCGGATAGGTTTTTTTTTTACCTCAGAGTATAGACACCAACCTATGGTAAAAAAAAAAGGTTTACACGCAATTCTTACTTGTTGCAAAGAACCATGAAGTACCATAATAATAATCCTCGCATTTGATGTAGAGTTTTTCACGTCTTCTCGACGTCTCGAAGCGCTTCACAGAATACACTGTGAAGTGAATTGACTGTATATTTGTGGGCGAAACGCGGCAGCCAATTGCGCACAGCAGCGTCCCACAAACAGTCGTGGATTGAAAATGACCAATTTATTATTGTTTTGTTTTGGAGGGATTATTATCATCTCTGAACATTTCAGAGCAGACTTAATAAACTTGTCTTTTGTGTCTGTTAAGAGATAATATTGTGCAAACTGGGACAAGTAGATTTTTTTTCAAAGTCTGCATCTCACATCTAGCTCACCATTGCTGAGTATTTACATAGTAATAGATCAAACTTACAGCAGACTTAGTGAGGGGTGTTTATATTTTGTTTTCTGGGTGACATACTTTGATAAATCAATGTAACATATAAAACTTTACATCAGCATGTTAAAGCAACCTCACAAAACTGTGGACGGTTCAGTAAGACACTGAGATCTTGGAAGATGTGAAGTGCTTTCACTCACAATGGGTCATGACATTCTCTGATCGGAGCTGGATCCCGGTTATTAAGAGGTATATAGTTAAAGAACTCTCTCAGGTTCAATAAAGCATCAACATCATTTTCAAAAGCTCGGTGTGCAACACCTGGGGAAAAAAAAACAACACGGGTTGCAATCATCAGAAAATCGATCCCTTATGAAGAAAATAAGCAGCCGGTTCATTCTTTACTCGTCGCAATGGGGGAGGGGCAAGAAGGAGCATCTATTATTACATACATTTTAGCAATTACCTGTTTCTGTTAAAATAGTATCATTGCAAATAATTATACATTTGGTTAGATTTGCTAAGGCTCTTTCCATTTTCACTAACCTCAAAGTGTAAACCAGAATCTAATTGATCAGAAATACAGGTTACCCACGATCATGTTACTGTGATACAGGGTACAAATCTGCACTTAATAAAGAATCTTTTCTAAATGTAAATGGACACTGTCTGCTAACCTGAGACTGCAGTGTGGGTCTTAGCACCGCCAAGGTCTTCTTGGGTCACGTTTTCATTTGTAACAGATTTCACCACATCAGGGCCAGTGATGAACAGGTAAGAAGTGTCCTGCAGTTAAAAAAACATTGTAAATATATAGTGAAAAGGCAATACAAATATGACAGCAGCTGGTAATAAAATCAAGCAAGTGAATGTGATCAATTACTGAGAAACAGTATAGTGCCTTACAACCCCCACATCATCTATTCTAATCTCCATCAAGTGACATTTTGAGGCTTTCCATCACGACTCAGGAAAATTCTAAACAATGCTCACATACAGAATACAATAGATTCTCGCCTTAGACACCTCAGTAATGAGGTCAACTCACTATTCACTTTTCACTGGAAACCACTAATGGTCAAATTCCCGTTTACCTGAGCGACAAATTTCTGTCCATTACCTTCACCATGAATGTAAAGTCAGTTAAGGCAGGTGAATAGACAGCACCACCAGCACACGGGCCCATTATAAGAGAGATCTGTGGGATGACTCCTGAAGCCAGTACATTTCTCTGCAACACATAAAAACAAAACCCTCATCATTATTGGGTTCAGTGGAAATGCTGCAGTGTATGTGAATGTGTTATTTAAAATAAATGCATCTATTAAATTCTCTTAGGCACTACAATCTTACCAAGAAAATGTCAGCATAGCCAGCAAGAGATTCCACTCCTTCCTGAATACGTGCTCCTCCAGAGTCATTCAGTCCAATAACAGGAGCTCCAACCAACAGAGCCTGGTCCATAATCTGGAAAAGCACCAAACCAATTAATAATGCATTTAAAATTTACACTTAAAATATTCCCTTCCTCTTCTACTCCGAAATTGTGCTCATGCAGAAAGCAATTAACTTGGGAGTACAAAGAGAAACTTCACAGGACGCAACAGATCACAGAAAATAATCATTAAAGGAAAAAAAGTCAAGAGTAGGAAGATTTTCTGTTCAAAGTACTCCCCAACCCATGTCTGTCATAACTATATATCTTGCCTGTTACAAAAAGTCATCTAACATGAGTTACCTTCCCTCCTTGCCCACTGATTGGTACCTTATGATACCAAAAAAAAGGCAGTATGTATGTGTTGTGAAGTGTCTACATTCACTGTAATGAGAGTTGGCATCTTACAGCAGCCTGGGAACTAGGCCAAAGTTTGGGAAAAGTCACTTTGAGCACAAAAATGAGAAAGAGATTTACTTGAGTTTGTTCAGTATCTTGGAAAACTGAAACCATACAAAATTATAAACTAGTCGACCAAAAAGGCCCAAGTTTATCACTGTAATGTAATCGACTACATGCAACTTGGCAAGACTGCTATTCTGCTACATCACAAAGATTTTTAGGTTCTTCTAATAGTCAACTTCCTACTTTAAAAAAACTACCCACCATTTCTGTGAACTATCCAATCTGTGACTGGATTTAGCATGGCATATCATCTTCCTACAAATGTACAGTCACTACGCTTTACAGCCTTATCTTGCCCTCAAAATCTCAAAACCATGTGAAGTGTTTTGAGATTTTGAGGGCAAGATAAGGCTGTATAATAATAATAATCCTTACATTTGGTATACCGCTTTTCATGTTAGGAGAATGTCTCAAAACACTTCACAGATTGCAAACACAGCAGCCACTACATCAAATGCTGGGAATAATTTTATTATCACGATGACAATGAAGGTTCAATAATGTAATAGACATCATTGAATGTCCAGTTGTTTGTTCTTCATTTGGCACATTGATCTTCTTATCTCTTACCTTGCAGATCTTCTGAGCATGAGCGCCTGACAAACTTCCCCCAAATACTGTAAAATCCTGCCGAAGAAGAAATGATAATGTAGAGTTTTTTTGTCTTTCACTGTGTGAACCAGACAAGAATAAGTTCTGATTTCTGGAACATTTCACACACAATGTACGTACACTCAAGAAACAAGGTACGTGAATTTTAACCATATTAATTACTACATAATATAAGGACCTTAATTTCTTGTAGTTTAACTACAAATACTTAATATTTGCACACCTTATACACCCATTTATTTCTCCAAATTAAAATAGAACCTGGAATTTGAAGCTAGCAGCAGAATTCCCATCTAATGTTATCCAAATTATCAGTTAACCAAATCAGTCTGCAAAATATTTCCTGTAGTTCAAAAAAATGTTCACATGTTTAACCCACACAAAGTTTTTCGTATGATCTCTCCTATTTCTCTATGAAGATTTGCTGCCAAAAAATGCTTGGAAATTTAATGAATCCTCAGAGAGCAATTTTTTTTCTTCTTTAAATCTCCAAGGTCTAAGATGTCAGAAAGATCATATCATTATGAATAAATCAGAGCTGTAAGGAAAACAAACTAAAGTACTGAGGGAGATATCACTATTTGAGTAGTAACCTACAGTTCCAACCTTGGTTTACTGCTCCAGACATTTTCATTTACTGCTCTAATCCAATGGTACAATGGAAAAACTGGAAATTACCATTATTATTGTCATTCTTCAAATTTGTTTGCACTGCTCATGCCATTGTGGCTTAGTTCTACACCAAGCAATGCCTTTATCAACTGAGCTCATGGGAAGGAGGCCAGATATAGTCTACTCGTTGTGTCGCTCAAAACGCTGTCTCGTTCACCTACTCCAATTACTCCCACACAAATAAAACAAAGACAAAGAGAGTCAGGTTGGGTATTCAATTATAGATACTGACACACTCAATTAAACTCCCCTAATGAATAATACAGTACAGCTCCCCCCGCCCACAAAAAAAGTTTGAAGACCTCAAATTCATAAGAAATTAGATCTAAATAATGGGTAGTACAGTATTTTCTAAGCTAAAAATGACTTTCAATTACATACTGTTAAACTCGAGAGCTGCTCCATTGCCTCTTCTAATGTAACTCTACAGCCTGCGGTTTGGAGATGCACTAAAGCTCCCGTGGGGTTGTTGCAGATTATTTTCCTTCACCTACCGCGAGAAAAAATTCCTATATATATATATTTGCATCTCCCCTAATGGGGTGGAAAAATAAGTTATTTCTTTGCAAAATATTGTACATTTGAAAGTGCACTGCTGTGATTTGAATTTATACTTGAACTAGAAAAGTAGGGAAGTCATAGCTTAGGAAAAAAAGGGCATTTTTTATGAACGTTACACAACCCAGAACACAAATAATTAAACAGGTTTTCAAAGAAAATTATTAACAAGAGCTTCAAAGAAAAATAAATTTGATTACCTGGCTGAAGATGTAGACTAGACGGCCATTAATCCGTCCCTGACCAGTCACCACACTGTCACCGGGAAACTATGGAAAAATGTAAACAGTAAACTAAAACAAGGTTAGATTGGGTTAACCAAGCGAATTCAAATACAGAACCAAGTAATTTCTCATAATATAAAATAACATTACATAGGAATGACACAAGGCTATTCAATCACACCAATTTCCTCAAAGGGAAGGAAAAATATAAAATTATTGACAAAAACATAAAAAAAGTGGAGAACTATTAAAAACGTAGAGTGCTGAGGAACTGTTATTTTAAGTGTCCATCAAGTACTCTCGGGGCAGATGTACTCCCAGATGCAAAACAATGATTTCTTTACTCTTCCCCATCAATTCTGCCTCCTCCCAATCCTCACCGCTATGTGAAACTGTTGATTCAGTAATAATTCAGAGACAGCTAAGTAAGCTTCACCAATCAGTGTCAGTTACATTTGAGCTCCGGACAACATGCTATGTTACAATGCTCCCCCCCTTTAAATGTACAAACTAAGTGCAAAGCTTCATTCATGGTTATTCGTAGAGTATGATAAGTAGAAATGTGGATTTTGGCAACTCTTATAAACTTCTAGAATGATAAATACTATGATAAATGATAAATTACTATGAGAATGATAAATACTCACCTACAAGGCCATTCACGGCCTTGCTCCCTCCTACCTCTCCGACCTACTATCCCCCTACCTACCTGCCCGTACCCTCCGTTCCTCTGGCTCCGGTCTGCTCCACGTCCCCCGCCCCAACCGCCCTACCATCGGTGGTCGGGCCTTCAGCCTCTCAGCCCCGAGGCTCTGGAACTCCATCCCCCAGTGCCTTCGCCGCTTCCTCCCTTTCCTCCTTCAAGGCCGGTCTCAAAACCTTACTCTTTGACCGAGCCTTCAGCTCCCCTCTCGACTCTCTTCCCCCTCCTCGCTCCCTCCCTTCCCTCCCCTCACCCTGACCATTTCCCCCCTCCTCGCTCCCTCCCTTCCCTCCCCTCACCCTGACCATTTCCCCCCTGCTCGGGTCATGACCCAACTGTGCAGCGCCTTGGGACGTCCTCCTGACGTGAAAGGCGCTTTATAAATGGAATCTTGTTGTTGTTGTTGTTGTACTATTTAATCGATGATGACATACTTGATTAAGAATGAGAGAATAACACTTAAAATGTCCTTTATTCATAGCTACACTGAATAGGAGTGGTGAACTCCACTGTCATTCTTATGTTAAGTTACTTAAAAACAAATAAGTCAAATGATCCACTAAAATAATCTCACTTTAATATAGAATTAATTTATTTGTAATCTAAATGATTTTAAAAAATTACAAGGGATGTTTCTATTTTTCTATTTACCAGAATCCAGGGAGGAGCCTTTGCTTGGGAGATTAACATGATAATGGCTGCTTTCAGTTAAATGCAATGATTACAAATTAATTCTTGCCACGTGCGTTTTATTCAGTGTTATTACAGACACAATATCAAAAACTTGAAAGTATCCTGGAGTGTATAGCTTCTGAGAATGTGAATGCTCACAAATGCAGAATGTAAACAAAAAATACGTTCAACGTAGTTGCATCATGTACTGCAAGTGGCTGCTGCAGTGTGCAGAAGGGATTGGTCCTACTACAGTAATTTGTCAAACCGTTCCACAAACACATCAGATAACTGAAGGAGATTTATCTATTATTACAAAATGCAAAGCCGAATCTCCTGCATTCCAAATAGTAACAAGCAGAATTCAGATACTCACAATCCTGCAACAGCAAATGTCCTCTACGTTTTGTAAATAAAAGCTCGATGATGAATCAGAACCCCCCCCCCCCCCCCAGATGTTGTTACCTTATTTTCATCTGTGGCCATTCCAAAATCTGAACATCTGTGTTCCACAAACATGTCATATTCCACAAAAGAATCGGTGTCCAGAAGCAGTTGGATACGTTCCCTGGCAGTCAGCTTTCCCTGGGTAAACACAAACATAAATTACTAGCTGGCCATTGCTATACATACTGTAAGCCACTCGCTATAATCAGGATTCTTCCTAGAAATGGAGGAACCTGGTCCATTTTGGTGAATTACTCAATCTAATACAATAACAATCTGAAAGTGCTTCTTTTACTATAACCATTAAAAATATTTTTTAAAATTGTTTCACACAGAAATGATGAAACCATTTGGTGCATTGGAATTCATAAAGGCTCTTTTTTTTTAAATTGGTTGCCAGTTATACAGGACCGTTGATTCAGTTCTGGGACCTCCTGCTTGAGAGATTAACGTGGCGTAGATATGCAGTAGGAAAAGAACTTAAAATAAAATGAATTACAAAAAGACAACCTATTGAACTGAACATGTTCTCCCTATTATTGTTGTGGATCCAAGCAGACTGAGGTAGCACTTATGGAAGGGTAACAATGTTGATAGTATAGTGCCATAGTGCCTTTCACGTGTTAGTAAACAAAATGTACTTGTTAAAGCAATACCAACATGGATGCAATCCAACCCATTCTTTTACAATTGAAGAATAGCATTGTTATTTCTGCAGTAACAGTCTTAAATGTATAATACATACCATTTGCTTCCAATTGCTTTATCCTTCAAACTAAACAAGTAGAAGCAAACAGCCCCATACCGAACAACTGCCTGCACAGTACTTCAAGAATGACTGCAGCATCACGACCAAATATTACATTTTTCCTTTTTAATTTAATGATCGAAACTCTTAAATAAATGCAAACGTTAGAACTCAACCCAATTCGTACACACAGAGTCATAATAGATACACTTTGGGTTTAACGTCCTGTAGAGATGTAATTAAAATGACTGAACTGCTTCACCAGTGACCCTGCAGAGCAGCAGCCAGTCAACGCCTTGCGAAAATGTTATGGACATATTAATTTATCGGTCTAGAAGACTGTGAGCCTTGAACATTCACAAAGAAGTTTCTATAATTAATGGGTAGCTTAAGTCCACTGGGGAAATCATTGCAAAGATCTCGGACGAGCCAACAAAATACCTGATGGGGATTTGCGAATTCTCTCTCCACCCCCACCCCCCCCCACACACACTGAATGTCAAATATGTCCTTCATAGCAGAGGCATGAAGGGCAAAGCCCATCTGTGCCGTGAGAACTCACTGTCCCCTCCCCCCCCACCCCCCAAAAAAAAAAGAACAGATGACAAATAACTTTCAATACCACCATATGGTGCAGTTTCAGTGGACACCCACAGTAGCCATTGTTGATCAGATGCTCCTGGTTACCTTTTTTGTTGTTGTGTGTGGTGTTGTGTGTTGCGTTGTGTGTGTGGTGTGTATTGTGTGTGGTGTATGGTGTGTTGTGGTGTGTGTGTATGGTGTGTGTATTGTGTGTGTGTGGTGTCGTGTGTGTGTGGTGTTGTGTATTGTGTGGTGTTGTGTGTTGTGTGTGTGTGGTGTTGTGTGTGTGTGGTGTTGTGTGTGTGTGTGGTGTTGTGTGTGTGTGTGTGGTGTTGTGTGTGTGTGTGTGTTGTGTGTGTGTGTGGTGTTGTGTGTGTGTGTGGTGTTGTGTGTGTGTGTGGTGTTGTGTGTGTGTGGTGTTGTGTATTGTGTGGTGTTGTGTATTGTGTGGTGTGGTGTGTTGTGTGTGTGTGGTGTGTTGTGTGTGTGTGGTGTTGTGTGTTGTGTGTGTGTGTGTGTGGTGTTGTGTGTGTGTGGTGTGTGTGTGTGGTGTTGTGTGTGTGTGGTGTTGTGTATTGTGTGGTGTGTATTGTGTGTGTGTGGTGTTGTGTATTGTGTGTGGTGTTGTGTGTGGTGTTGTGTGTGTGTGTGGTGTTGTGTATTGTGTGGTGTTGTGTATTGTGTGGTGTGTATTGTGTGTGTGTGGTGTTGTGTATTGTGTGTGTGTGATGTGTTGTGTGTGATGTGTTGTGATGTGTGTGTGACAAACGGATGGGGAATGGGGGGGTTTGGGTGACATTGACGACCCACTGATGAGCCCGAGGTGGGAGGGAGATCAGGGTCGCAATGCTTGAAGCCTGCGATCAGTTTGTATCTGGGAATCTTGGCCACCGTGTGAACCCCCCCCCATCCCCCCCACCACCCACTGCCCCCATCCCCCACTCCCCCCATTCCCCCCCCCACACACACCAGAGGAGAAGACAAGACAGACCTTGGCCAACCACCACAGCTCCACTGACCAGGGAGGAGGGAGGAGGGAGGACAGGAGAGTCTTAAGATCAAATGATGTGACCTCAGTTAGTACCTGACCCCCCCCCAACCCCCACACACCCCCCCCCCCCCACACACCCCCCCACAACCCCACACACCCCCACAACCCCACACACCCCCCACCCCACACACACCCCCCACAACCCCACACACACCACCACCCCCACAACCCCACACACACACCCCCACAACCCACACACACCCCCCACAACCCCCACACACACCCCCCACAACCCCACACACACCCCCCACAACCCCACCCACACACACACACCCCCACACACCCCCCCCACCCCCACACACACCCCCCACAACCCCACACACACCCCCCACAACCCCACACCCCCCCCCCCCCCACACACACCCACACACACACCCCCCCACACACCCCCCCCCACCCCCCCCCCCCCCCCACACACACCCCCCACAACCCACACCACCCCCACCCCCCCCCACACCCCCCCCCCACACACACACACACCCCACCCACACCCCCTCACACCCCCCCCCCCACCCCCCCCCCCACACACCCCACAACCCCCCCCAAAAAAAAAATCGCACAACACCTCAAACTTACCCTCTTGTGTTGAGCATCTATTCGATGTTGACCTCCTCCGAGTATCGCCCTTTGACGCTTCCTCTCGATCCTCTCGTGGACGGACAGATTGCTGACTGAATACCACTGTCTGCGCTCGGCGGCGGCGGCTCTGCTCACCTCAGGTAAAGGCGGCAGGTGTTTGGCCGAGCGCAGCGCCCCGCTCCAGAGCCGGCAAACGCTCCTCGCCGCCGCCAGCGTCGCCATGACCGTTAGGGAAGGGAAAAGGGGCGGCGCCTCCCCCGTTCAGCCCAGCTTGACCGGTTGATTGACACGGCGAAACGGCCAATTGCGCGCTCAGGCGGACGGCGCGATGGGGCGGGGCGGTCCCGCCCCTGTGCCCAATCAGCAGGTTCGGTTGCGCGACGCATGCGCATGTCGTGTTTTGGGAGCAGGACGCCTGGGGGCGGGCGAAGGTGTAGTTCTCAGGAAGCCGAGGCCACGTGACAGCAGAGCGGCGCCCGGGGGGGAGGGGGGACGGACGCGGACTACAACTCCCAGCGGCCACCGCGAGCCGTATAGGCGCCCTGTGTAAAACCGAAAGACCTCAGGACTTATCTGTCGTATTGGCTGAGCAACTGCACGGCTCACGATATAACTCAACACGAGCGTCGCGTCGGTTCCCGGCGGAGGGGAGTGGGAGGCAATATAGAAAGCGAAGGAGGACGATATTTGTTGTGGTGGGGGGGTGGGGGGTGAAAAGAGCGGAACAAATCTAATGTACCGTAAAATCCGTCACCCTTTTACCAATGCGGCAACTCGAGAGTCATTTTTTTTTTAAATTTGAGAGCGAAAACTACACTTGAGATTAATCAATCCAGACGGGGGGAAAAAAAATAAAATTAATTTATTCGGATCGGTAGAATATAAAACGGGAGGAGGAGGAGGAGGAGGAAAGGTGTGGGGGGGAGAGAGAGATAACCAATGGCTCGGGGGAGGGATTGGGCGTGTTACACATATTATTCAGTGTGTGTAATGTGAAAAAAAATCAGGCAGTGCGGCGGACACTCCGTGTTTCTCTCCCCCCCCCCCCCCTCTCCTCCTCCACTCTCTCTCCCCCCCTCCACTTTTCCGCCGTCACGTGACGAAGGCTCGAGCCCCTTTTCCGTTTTTTTCTCTCTCTCTCTCCTCCGCTCGAAATCGAACGTTTCGCCCGTTTTAAAAAGCAACGGCCGCCGCGCCTCGCCTCGCGCTTCCCTCCCGCCCGCCCGCCCGCCGACCGAGCCCGCGAGACGCACACACCGCTTCAAGCAACGGCGGCGAAAGGGGGGGGGGGAAGAAGCAGCAGCAGCAGCAGCAGCGCCAGCAGCGCCGCCATAATAATAATAATAATAATGGTGGTGTCGGGGCGGAGTGCGAGCGACTGAGTCTCTCTCCCTCTCGCCTTTTGCTTCTGTATAATCCCCTCCCCGCCTCTCCCTCTCTTCACACTCCCCTCCCTCCCTCCCTCCCTCCACATTCCCCTCCTCCGCCTCCTCCTCCTCCTCCTCCCGGGGAGCGGAGGCTGCCCGTGTCGCCCGCCGGGCTCGGGAGGGGGGGTTTGGTTGCTTTGCACCCAAAGCTGATCTCGGCGCAGTAAAAGGAAGGAAGGAAACGACGACGACGAGAAGGAGGAGGAGGAGGAGGTGGTGTAGTAGTAAAGGCGAGTGAGTTCTCGCGAATGGCGAGATCTGTGAGGCGACTCGAGGCCGTCCCGTTGTCGAGTTAAAAGTCAGTTGGGAGCCGGAGCTGAAGCTCGGATGGAAGGCGCGCCGCTCCTGGACGCAATGGCCACCGCTGCTGCCGCCGCTGTCTGCTGCAACTGTTGTTATTGATGTTGTTATGGCTGTGGGCGAGCAACAACGGAGCCGCCGCCGGATCCGAACCGAGCAGCAGGAAGAAGAAGAAGCCGCCGCCGCCGCCACCACCACCACCTGCGCCGCCGCCAACCCCTCGCTTTAAATGGACATTAGCAACGCCACCACCACCGAAAGTGGGCGTCGGAGAAAAAAGCGTAGAAGAAACCCTCTGTGCCCCATCCTCGGCAGCGCTGAGCGGCGGCAGCAACAACACCAGAAGCAAAAGAAGAAGGGCCTGAGCTGCGCCTCCTCCTCCTCCTCCTCGGCCGCCGCCGCCGCCTCCGCCGCCATGAATCCGGTGAACGCCACCAGTCTGTACGTCTCGACCTGCCGCTACATCATGCAGTGCGAACCGCAAGAGCCCGGCTCCTTCTCCGATCTCTACAAATTGCTGCCCTACCTGCGCCAGTCCCTCTCCTGCTGTGTCTGCGGTGAGCATTACACACACACACACACACACACACACAATAACCCCGGTACCGGGCAAGGATTTTAAAATGCCCCCACCCACACGTATGCATCCCTGTTAGTGGTTGGCTTCAGTGTGAGAGCGAATTCCTGCAAATCTCATGCAATACTCTCTTTCCCTCTGTTCCCCCCCCCCCACTCCTATGTGTGTGTGTGTGTGTGTGTATGTATGTGTTCTGTATGTGGACGATTTGTGCATTGCACCAGAGGCCTTCTCTGCTCAGCTCATGAACATAATTATAATCTGCATTTAATTCTTTTTTTTTAAAAAAAAACACAAGGTTTACGTACGTTTTGATTTGCTGGATTCCATTTTTAAAATGACAATTTTCCTGGAGAAAATAATCATACTCACTGGGGTGATTCTCGCTCGGTCTCCATTCTTCCACCTCATTACATATTGTGGAGCTTTTTCCCGCTTGTATAAGATTTATTCTTTGCACTGCACCATGGCCTGCTGACAATGCTGTGGAGTGCAACTGGATTTGCATTACTTCTTGCAGAAATCCATTTGAAAGGGGCTGCAGTAGTTCAATTGCAAATGATCTTAAAGTAAATACTGTACTATTTTACTCAAGATAAGGCTCCTTTCGCACTGTTTACAATGCTGAGGTTCATGGTTAAACAGTCTGGGGGTGTGGTATTGGGAATTCCATTGCTATTTTAGGAGATCATTTCATGCAATCGTACAGTACAGGACGTATTACAAATAAATTGCTTGCATTTGTATGAACATACTCCATTGATTAATTACATAGTAATTGGTATCCCTGCTTTGATTTCCGGTGAAGGCTTCGCACTGCTGTGAATTTACGATGAGATTTCCAACATAAACAGTGAGGGTTTCAGTTACTCGGAAAGCTCTGTGATTTAGAAACTATTAAGAATAGTAGACAAAGTGGTGGTGGTGGTTGTCTTTATCTGAAAGAATGTGTAACATTTTTGCCAGTTTCTTTGCCTGGTATATCGGAGATCTTGGGAAGTCAAGGCTACAGGAACATAACCTTAATTCCATTGGTTTGTATCATGTCTGCATTCAGGTAACCAATTTAAGTTGGTCTTTTTCGACATTCGAGCAAATATTTTTTTCATCCCCCCCCCTACTCGGATCGAGACGTGACTTAGCGATAACGTACGTATAGCAAAATGGCTCAACATGCATTTGAAAAAAAAATCAATTAAGTGTTTGCAAAGTGGCTCGTTGCTGTCCAATAACCTGACTTAAAACCTCAGCGGGTTGCCTATCATGTAAAACCACTCATCGCGTTTGCATTGCCGTAACCTATTGCAAATATGATGCCTGCACGTTATCCGGCTGCAGGTACATTTAACGTTGATTTTCTTTTAAACTTAAAAGGCGGAATGTGTTTCCCGTTGCCGGGGGGGGGGACAGGGCCTCTATATTACTTAAAGCGATCGCGTTTTATGTTCTGCCCGAAAGTAAACACGCGCACGTGTCTGCTCTGGGATCCAGCAACACCGCGAGTTCAGCTCTGAACATCCTCCGCCCCTGCAGCCCAAGTGCTATTTTCAGACACTTGTCATCATCCACGTCGGAGTTTTCTTCGCGTTAAGTCTCTGAAAATCTCGAGATTGGGCGACCGTTTCATTTTTGTACACACACAACTGTTTTGGAAACGTTCGATCGGTTGTTGCGAGTCCTCGAGGAACTTGAACGATTCTTTTCGCTGATCGTCACACACTCGCCGCATCTCGTTGTGTTAACCCTTCAGTGTCTGAGTGGGAATTCATCGAGATTTATGCTGGGAACACGGCAACAGGTGCTGGGTTTTCCTGCCTGGCATTCATTTCATTCCTAATTCTCGTTTTGTGAAGCTTTACCAGGTGTTCTTTCAAGAATCGGCCGTTGCTCTTTCTACTTTCCAACCCAGTAACCTTCACTTGTTCTTGGCCTCTGCCCTTCTTCAGGGCAGTTGGGAGTGACCTGCTTTCTCACTTTGGTTTCCCCCATCCTTCCTTAAAAAGAAGCAACTGGTCTCTGTTTGGTACCTTGTTCTGTAAACCCAACCAAGGTTGGCACTATTGTGTGGGGAATCAATAAGCACAGAGCTGCCTAAGGTCAGGCACTGATATTGTTTTGCTCGTACTGGAGCTTATCTCCACACAGTTGACATTTATTTTATTGAAAAAAGGCATGAGGAGTATGGTTTGTTTTGAAGTTTCAATATCCGACAACAATAACAAAATTACATTTCATGTCATGCCTTTCATGTCGGGAGGAACAATTTTATATCATAATATGTGGTACTGACATTTAAGTCAACATTTTTTGCCCACAAAATAGTCAATTCACTTTATAGTATATTCTGTGAAGCGCTTTGAGGACGTCTCAACAATACGACAGGGCGCTATATCAAATGCAAGGATTATTGTTATTTAAGCATGAAGAGTTTCGGAATAACTATTGCATGTAAATGATTTAATTAGTGTTTTAAAATCTATAAACACGTTCACTATATAATGGATGTTGTAAATTTAAAATGAGAGGAATAAAAAAAATTCTGCAGTTACCAATATAACATTTGAGATTGCATTGGTCCATTCAGTGATTTATAATAAGAGGAGAGAATATTATCATAATTCTCTTTAAACAATACAATTGTTAAGGCAAAAGCAATTTCTGTAAATGACTTTAGGTTAAGTAAAAATAATTGCAAGGGATAAAATAATATTCAAATATGTTAGTGGAAATTCTGATGCTTGTAAACTACTTTTTTTTTCATCGGCACAGATTGGGAAGTTGGATATGTTTACTCACCTTAGTGTACTATTGTTTGAGGAAATGAAATCAAAAGTTTAATTTTCTTTTGAAAAAGTAAATTTAGGAAGGCCCGCCCACCTATTTCCATCCATGTATTACATAAGCAGGTTTTGCAAGAGATGGATAGCTGGTGCCTGATGCAGTTTATATGTCTGCCTCATTGTTTGGGCGCCAAGCTCTGGGCAAAGAGCCAAAGGTAAGGTCATTTACTATGCACTGGAGAAAAGAAGAATGAGGATAATCTGCGAAATGTGGGTACAATTAGTCTAAATGACAAAAGCAAATCTCTCCAAATTTACTTCCTGCAGTTGACATAACATTTTTAGTTCATTTTATTTAAGATTCTGCTGCATTTATATAAATAAATGCTTAATTCTAGAAAGCTGGGAAGCACCGGAAAGCCTTAAGAGACATTACTATTGGAAAATGTAATCCCAGTATATTTAATTTGCTCACATGTTTAGATCAGTACAATTGAATTTGATGAAAATGTAATACTTTTGAAGTTGGCAACAAGAAAGTAAAATCTGGAGCGTTACATTGAATATCGTTTTAGTATTAGCACCATGGACAACATATTCTTAGTTAACTGTAAAACCATACAGGCCTGGGTATTGTTGGACTGGAAGCATGAAAAATTTCTTTATATTATATTTCTATTTTACTGAGACCTTATGAAGTGTTGCATTCAAAGGCAACGGACTATCATTTTAAAACCTCTTTAAATATTTCATTTTATGAAGTGTTTACTGTCATAAATGGTATGTTTACAAAGTATGAAGTTTTGGAAATTACTGCCTGTTAAGGGAGAAGAGATGATGAATTTCAAAATGTTAGCACACTGTTGGCCTCTTGAGTAATATGACATTCGAGGCACAAACACTTGCTGCGTTTGCAGACAAATTACACAGTCACACTGATTTATTACAGAAATGGGGAAAAAAACTTACCGGTTCAACATAATTATTCTAAAATATAATAGTTTATTGAGCACATTTTAGAAATGTTTGGTCTGTTCAACAAAAATTTACAGTTAAGTTTTATAAATGCTCTTCCAGTACAAAGATTAATAAACTCGAATGTAAAGGAAATGGATTTTAAAGTATTTCACAAGAGGAGTTTGGGTGCGGAAGGCCCTTCAGCTCATTTGATCTCATCCTTTCTTTTTATCCATCTTTGGGTATCAGCTTTTCTGTTCTGAAATTCCATCCTGGAATCCCATCCTGGAATCTCACCCATCCCTTGCCTCCTTCAAGGCCCGTTTCAAGACCTTCCTCTTTGACTGTGGCTTCGGCCACCGTCCCACCCCTCTACCCTCCATCACTCTTGATTCCAACCCCCAGCTCAGGTGCAAGCCCTTACCTGTCCAATACCTTGGGACGTCCTTCTGACGTGAAAGGCACTATTCAAATGTAATTTGTTGTTTGGAGTGCGAAGCAAGTTGTGCACCACTAAGACTCGATTTCTTGTTTAATTGTTCAAGTGTGTACTCTTTCATGTTGACTTGTTTGTTTCAAATAGATATAAATCTACAAATTACCAAATCTCTATACTTTACAGCATATCCTGTGAAGTATGTTGAGATGTCATCCTGATGTGAATGGTGTTATATGAAATGCAAGGAATAGTATTATAAATCTACATAATATAATCCTTGCATTTAATATAGCGCCTTATCACGTCTTCGAGATGTCTCAAAGTGCTTCACAAAATCTATTGTAAAGTGAATTGACTGCATGTATGTAATATATATATAAAAATTGAGGGAAAGATATGTGCAAGCACTGCTATAAATACATTGCTTAATTTTTATTCAAAACTAAGATCCAGTGATTACATGTCCTTCCTCCTCAGAAAAATGTACTTGTCTAACAAGCAGATATTTACTGACAACCAATCAAACATTTATTTACGAGAAGTTATCAGTCTTAAAGAGAGATGAGCTATATAAATCTTTCCTAAATGTTTCATGGTCTTCAAAGCTTTAATGAATCTGAATTAATTTCTAGAACATCAACACATGTTTGTTTTTTTTACAGGAAACTTATTGAAAGATCCAATTGCTCCAACAAACTCCACTTGTCAGCACTATGTCTGCAAAGTCTGCAAAGGTAAAAAGATGATGATGAAACCCTCCTGTAGCTGGTGTAAAGATTATGAGCGGTTTGAGGAAAATAAACAGCTGAGCATCCTGGTGTGCTGCTACAAGAAACTATGTGAATACATAGCTGAATCACCAATTTCCGAACACCTTGCTACAGCTGTGGATGGTGCTCCTGACATCTTAACACTGTTGCAAGAAGGACTGTCGTTAGATGACGGAAGGCAAGGGACCTCTGGTTCGGCTAATACTTTACACTTGTCAAATTCTCCACCACCCTCAAGCTCGGAATGCATCAATGACCTGGAAATGGCAGCACCTCAAGTCATTGAAAGCACTCCTCCGGACAGCACGTTAGTCTCAAGCAATGTTGAAATGATCTGCTCTAGTATCAATGGGTTGCCTGGTTGCAATGGACTTGCTGCAGATGAACTTGCTGTAAATACTATTTCTTCTGCAGAAAATTCGGATGGACTCCATATATCCTCCACTGGAGAGGACTTCAAAGATATTGCAGTTTCTGACAGCTTGCAGATAACCAGCAAAACTGTTTCTGTTGGCAGTCTGGATATAGTAGGAGCTGACGTTTGCAGTTATAATGAAGATATAAAGCCTATTGGCTGTTTATTACTCAGCAGTGAACATGTATTTCAAGAAACTGTTTCAAGCAATCTTGAGGCCTGTAGCACTGATTCACAACCCATTTCTGAGGCAAGTGCATCCAACGGACCTCATAAAGATGCCAAACCCACCTCCTTGCCTCCTAAAAGCAGTATTTTTGTTTCTAGCAATGCACCCCCTCATGGTAATCCCTGTGTAGCAGCCACACCGAAAATTGTACGGGTGAATCGGAAGCGCTCTCGATCGGAGAGTGACAGTGAAAGAATTCAGCCCCTGCCCATTTCCAGCATCATACATGGACCACCGCTGGGGGCTGCTACTCCTGTTCCCGCCAAACGAGAGACCAAGTTGTCCACGGAGACTGTTGTCACAGTGCCAAATGGTGGCACACCAAAAGTGGGAAAGGCTTTGCTTACGGCCAGTAAAAGTGTTAAAAAGCATGTAGAACACGGGGCAAAGAAAGCGCACTCAAAAGTAAAGCAGGGAACAACCAAATCTAAAACTAAAGAGAAAGTTCACAGTAGTACTGTAATGCCTGGCAGCCCATCAAAAATAGTGTACAAAAAACCCCAAGAGAAAAAGGGGTGCAAGTGTGGACGTGCTACACAAAACCCAAGTGTTCTTACATGTCGTGGGCAACGGTGCCCTTGTTACTCAAATCGCAAGGCCTGTTTGGACTGCATTTGCCGTGGCTGCCAGAACTCCTACATGGCCAACGGCGAGAAAAAGCTGGAGGCTTTTGCTGTGCCAGAAAAAGCCTTGGAGCAGACCAGGCTTACTGTGGGCATCAGCTTAACCAGCATCAGCAATGTGGTGCGGAGTGCAAGCACGAGTGCGAGTGTCATTAATGTGACAACGGGGTCGCCCATACCTACTTTCCTAGCTGCCAGTCCACGAGAGGACAAAAGCTTGGAGGAAACTATTGACTATAGATATGACTGTTAGATTGGAATTGATCTGGTAGACCTTAGGCTCGTCTCTATTAATAGGGACAGCTACAACTTTAAGGCAGCTATAGTTCTGTTTAAAAAAAACTTAGTTGAACTTGCCCTAGTCCTTTGGGTATAGATCACTTGAAATAAATGTTTGATTAATAGGCCTAGCTCCAAAATGGGAAATAGGCTAATGTGTCTAAGTTGTAATTAATGAACTGTTGCAAGTGGTTTATACTGAATGATCTTTGGCAAAAGAAATTTGACCTCATTGTTGCTGCTTATGCATTGTGCATAATCGCAAAAGGTAAAGGTGTAATTTAAAGAACAGAAAATGGTGAACTACAGTACGAACAGTTTAAATTACATGTAGAATATAATGTCACTTTTTATATGCAGATTATTTTTGTGTTCTCTAAATCAAAATCATTGGTTCTGTTTTATTTTGGTAATGTCATTAGATGACCCAAGAATATATTTAAAACAAAATGCCTCATTATTTTCTAATGAATGCATTTGCATGATCAGTTGCACAAAGCAAAACACTCCCATTACACCTGTGTAGTCACAGTTTCAAATAGAAATGAGGATGACGCTTTAGACGCACATGATCTATATTTCTTTTCCCTCAGGTCTGCTAATTTTAATTAGAAGAGCTATCTGGTGCTCAATGTATAATCTTACCATGGATGGTGGTTGCTGGAAGACCCCACTCCACGCACGCACTCGGATGCCTAAAAGAGGATATCGGTCCCATCTTAATGAAAATGTGTACAGATGAAGCTGCGTCTGCTCAGTTTTGCACAAATGTGTCAACTGATATCATTTAATATGGCCTAAGAATACTTGGCGGAAGCATTTCTGTTTAACATCTGACCAGGCTGCTCATAAATTGTTGGAAGTATATGGGGTATGGGTTAGATGCATGCTAACGATGGCTACAGTTTCCAATTATAATGTGAAAAACAAAGTGGTGAAGAATTATATCCTTTTCATCACCTACAAATACAGTCACTACACTTTACAGTAAAATTCTGTGATGCGCTTTGAAACGTTTCAACAACGTACTAAGGTGCTATATCAAATGCAAGGATTATGATTAAATGTGGTAGTGTCTCTGCATTGCTGGTTGGCTGCCACTAGATGGCACAAGCTCGTCTTGTTATGTGCTATTTACAACATGCACCAGTGCCCTCTAATGGCAGATATTCAGTATTGCATTTGATTAACTAAATGCCCTCAAGTCTTGTTAAAACTATAATACATTTTTGCAACATTGGCAAATTCAGGCTTTACATCCGGACAAGTAAGAAAATTGAAAGCACCTGCAACTGAATAATAAATAAATTGGGCCACAAGTTCATCTGTGATCAAAAGGAACAAAGAACAGTTTTTAAAAAAAGCACTTCAAAATGGAGGCTGGTGCATGTACTTTCCCTTGTTATTTCTCCTAGCACCCCCGCCCTCCCTCCCCGTCCACTCTTTCAGCAACAAACAAAATCTTTATCCCCTTACATAATGTCAATGTGGCTGAACTGCTTGTACCACTGTCCACCATTGTAATGATGTATATGAAATTACTCCTCGGCCTCACTCTGGTTTGGCACATAGCATGCACAACAATGGTTACTCACATAGTGTAAATGTGCAGGTAAACTTTCACATGCAGAAAGAGATCAAATGGCACCTCTTTTTGTTTTTATAGTGTAGCCGGTGTCATTTCCTGTGAATGTGGTCAAGTAGCGTTTGAAGCCATAGGAATAATGTGATGTTTTGTGTCCAGTCTGTACTTTAATTTTTTGGTTGTTTTTTTCCTTTTTTGTTTTGCAAGAAGAGTTGAAAACTATTTTTGATAATGAGAGTAAATGGTGGAAAATGCTTCTTCAGTTTACTTGTCTTTTTTGGCACCTAAGGCACCGACGTATTTAAATTTTGACCTCCTTGGTAGACTGTTACAAATCAATGTTTCTTTGTATTTGTACAATGCGGTTTCTGTATACTGACCCAAAAATTCCATGAATTGATTAGATGGTCAATCCGAACTCTGGCATGAAATCTGCGCTTACTGTTCCTATGTTGAAAGCAAGTACTGGTATTAGGCACAAAAAGTCCAAAATAGCATTTCGTATTTCCGTAATTAACACTATTGACTACATTGTTTTCCTGTTCCAAGTGGTGCTGATTACATTGAGAAATCCAGAAAAAAAACTACATTTTAATTTTTTCTTACAAAATGCTAACTTCTCACTGCCTCTTTTCCGGAACATGTACAAGAAAGTAATGAATAAATGCATTAGTTTTATACTACTTTGGTTTAGCTACATTTAGGATACTAGTGGTTAAACTACTGTATTGATCATACAAGGATTTTCGGATATTTATGTGTGTTTATGGTGTATTCTATCTGATCAATTTGGTAACTTGAAGTAAAAATGTCTGGGACATGCAATTTTTTTTAAAGATGACGGTCAAAAGGAATGTAATAGAAAGATGTTTAAAACGGGATTCTTGCCAGTAGTATGCCTTCTGAAAGTAAAATAGACTGAATCTGTTATGATGAACTTTTAACATTTTGTTATTATTTTGTGTTTCTGCCTGTCTGGCAATGTTTTCTCGTGTAAGCACAGTACTGACATTGTCAAAGGTTCTGCATAGACATTATTGGAGGTGAAATAATACAAATAGCAATACATTCAATAGCTATGGGTGCTTCACACAGACTTGTGATTTCAACTTCATATATTAATTCAAATCATTTGCATCTTCAATTTAGCTTCAGTAACTTCATATCTGGAAGACATAGATGACAATAGTTACAAAAAGTGTGTGAAGCACTATTCTTGGGAGGTGCAAGTATCTGCTGAGCTCTCGATCTTAGCTGTTATTGGGAGGAGGATGACTAGGTTGCTAGATGTTTCCACGGAGAGCAGAGAGTTATTCCCAAGTTTAACTTGCGGATCTCTATGGTAGCCAGGTCATTCAGCACAAGGGCAGTTTCTATTAAGACTTGCGCAATTGATAAGACCTTGGCACTACAGATACCTTTGGCAGTGTTCTTAAACATTCTGGAAGGTACAACAGCCAGGCACTTTACATATAAACGTAGCATAAAAATGCTGTAGCAATTTCTGTGGGAGGGGGAGATGGGAAAGAGAAAGAAGAACTCTCGAGTAGATTAAGCACTTTGACAGCGGATTAGTACCGGTTCGATTGTATTTATACCTTCTATAACGCATTCCAGTTTCTTCAGACAATCCAGGCTTTTGTGGGGGGGTTTTTTCTGTTCCAGTCCATGTGTTGGAGGGCCAATGAACGATAAATCTACTGTAAAATTTTAAATATTATTTTAGACAATCTTCATCTTTGTATTCAGTTATACAAAAAAATCACTAATCTCTGTTAAACCAGTACTATAATAAAAACAGGTGCTGGTTTAGTTTTCTACTTTCCTGATGTGTTGGTTTGTGAGGATTGTACTTGAGTTGCTGTAACCATTGTGAGAATTTAGTTAAGAACTTTGTTTTAAATGCTGTATGTCGGAAACATCTTTTAGGCTGGAAATCCAGTTGGTTGCAATTGAAATTCATATGAGCTATGAATATCCAGCATGGAGAAGTGAGAATCCATGTCATAACTGAACATACCCACAGTGGAAGAGGAATATCAGAAGAGGCCATCATTAAATGTCACATTATGAGGGCTGTCTTCACCTCGTATCAAGATTATTTCTAGATTTCAAAGAGTCCAGTTTTGAATCCCAAGGGTTTCGCTAATTCAGGAGTTCAATAAAATAGGATGCGGTTTGATACACTAGGTATCGTAATTCTATGGTTCAGATATGACACATGGAAATCATACATATAATGAAACTCCCAAGGGTTTGGATACTCATAAGCACCTCAGCAGTTTAGAGACCCATAAGCATTGTAATACGGTTTCCACAGACCGAAACGTTTAAATTATTCCAGTCCTTGCAATACATTGTAAATGGATTTCATTCTATGTTGAATTATTTAGAAATTTTGGTTTACATTTTCCACAGTTTTCTTTAGTATAGCACTCTCTAAGCCTTCCAGAATGTAATACCAATATAAGAAAACTTTTTTTTTTAAAAATTAAGTGGAGCAAAATATATATTTTTAGGGCTGTGACATACGAGTAAAATCATTTTGTCTTAATCCCTGTTTAGGAAATGTTCAAGGTGCCAAGATCACATGTTGTCAGGGAGGATATCAAAGGTCGTTTGTTTTTGTGTTAATCTGATTAAAGTATATTTAACAAGTGATAACTTTGTTTTTAAAACCTGAAAGAATCAAAGTGCCTTTGTTCCTGTTTGTAAAGCAATAAGGATAAATATTTGTGTGGCAAAAGTTTTAGTATACAAAATTACATTTTAATTGAATGGAAATTCTGAGCAGACACAATAAGTTTTGCCCTTTCAAAAACTCCCATTTTTAATCAATCTGCTGTACACGTCTCCTCCCCCCCCCCCCCCCACCCCATAGTTACGATTTCGCATATATCATGATGTAATTCTGTTGTCCATCTCTAAATAAGGGCGATTGTTTCTTCAGAAGTGGTAATGTGCCACATCACCATTATGTAAATAAACAGCATTAAGAAAGCAATGTTTAAATGAAAATGGGTCTGGTGTATGACCGATGTTGGGTACAATTTCATAAGTATGAAAGACCTGCTAACTTAAAATCCAATTGAATGAAAAAAATCTATGTATACTGTCCATGTTCAGTGTGTTTCAATGATTATGTATTCTTCTTCTTTGAGAAGTTAATCTTCATTTTTCTACCAGTGTAGATGTCAGCAAATCCTTCTGTTTGAGGAGGGACAGCAAATCCCAGTCGTATTTCAGAGTATATCATGAAGTGTTCAAATGGTCTGATCCTGAATACACCTTGAACTGTGCTGTACAACCATAGCAGCAAACTGTTCAGCATGAATATGACTCCATCTGAGTAGGGTAAATTGTCAAGATTACCAATTTTTGAAATAAGTACATGATAGAAATGTCTTATGCGCAGTGTAAATTAAAGCAAGGATATTACAATTTAAAATACAAGTACAAAACCTTTGAATCTTTACAAATGTTTATTTAATTTTCAAACTTCCAAAGAAAAGTCTGCAAATGTAAAAGCCATGCTAACACAAGCAACCAGCATATTTCACACCACTTGAGTAACTGATTATCCTTAGCAACCAAATAAGTAAGTCAGAACACAAATGCAGTTTTCATTCTAACACATCTCTACAAGTTTTTAATATTAACAATTACAATATTTGTTTCTGAAAAAAACACCATGAGCAGTTTTTGAATTGCTGTACAGTAGCTCACATGTTTCATTGATGCCCCCATGTGTTTGCATAGAGCTAATAATTACTGTGGCTTAAATGGCAGTACTTATCTCAAGTGTTCAGTCATTTGGTACAGGTTATGCCACATCTCAATGAGTGTGTCTGAAAGAAACAGCAGAAGACCTATTGCTATAAATAACTATACTGCAGCTATTTAAATTTTATATATAAATCTGTCCAGTTCCTCTCCTAGAACATAATGAAATAAGAAATTATTCTCTAAAGCTGCAGTCAAATTGTTTATTTTTTTAAAAAATCCTATATGTAGGAAATGTATTAAATTTACAGATATCCTATTGTTTCTATACTGGCAAACCACTCAGAAGACAACAAATTTCACACATTTTGGCAGATGCCTTTTTACACTACTTACAGAGATAATCAAGTTCTATACAAATGTGTACATTAAAAATCCAGACCAACTGTAGGTCACAAGTAAGGCACGGTTTCAAAAATATTTAGTGTTAACAGGTAGGAACTTAACCAGCAGTTGAAGAAATGTGCCATATTTGTGTGTATTGCAGATGTCGATATCGCCTACGCGCCAGAGTAGATGTTAGAGATTTAGAATACAGATATACAAGCCTAAAAGTATATTTCAACAAATTAGAGTCTATACCAGATAAAGCAAAAGAGAAACAGAACTAAAAGGCTAAAATGAGTAGTTTCTAATCAGTGCAAAGTGGTACCTTTTTAAAAGTGAATAAAAATTCTCATTTTTCACATCTGGCTTAAAAGAAAGATTTGGAAAATCCTATTAATGATCTGCGAAAACAAAAGTGCAAATTTTGTAACAGTATAAATTCTATTGCATTAAGTTACAAATTGAGCCTGTTTATTCTCTTGGAAATCTCATTGGGATTAGGAGAAACATAAAAATGGGGGGGGTGTGGAGGGAGATAAACCCTCCCATCTGATCACTTTCATATAGTTTGTAGAAATAGCCAATTGCATATCACTGTCATCAACCAATTTGAAAATCTATATGCATTAACTTTATAGTCGTATTTTGTTATGCTGCTTGTTAAACTTGCTACATATTTGGCTAAGGAAATGAAATATTATGTAAGGAGATGAAAATATCCTTTTCTGAGATAGGGTTATAATATATTGTACGGAGTCCAGCAAATTATTGCTTTGCAGAGTTTGAAGGAAAGCGGATAGTACCATTTTGTCTACATTTGCAGTGAAACTGCAAATTATTTGATGGATGTAAAGCTCGGGCAAGAAAAAAAAGGTTTATTTTGGAGATTATGTTTTAGCCTATCCTATTCAAAATTCTTATCCAAGTAAGAAATAATGTTTTAGTCCAGAACAGTATTTGGCGACCAGGTCAGATAACTAGCCAAGATATAGGATCTTAATGCCAGATTTGAGCTTGTACAGATGGCAGTGGACAATGAAGACAATGGTCCATTGCACTACCCCAGTTTGGGAATGGAGAAAGAAAATGTGACTTAATTATAAACCCATTGAACAAAGAGCAAATATTCATCATTGCCTGTTGATGGACAAGTATCTGAACTCTTTCATCTGTGGCAATATGCGTAATGTTCTCAAGGTCACACACCCTGAGAGCTTCATAAAGGGATCAAATGTTCGTCTGTTGCATTACATGCTTTTTTTAATCAAAATGCCATTTGGTTCTGAATCCAATTAATGACTTTCAATACTTCTTCTAATTTACTGTAAAAGACAACATCAGGTCAAAGTAAAAACCGTCTTTTGATATCACTCAAATTAGGGCCACCCCCCCCCCCCCCCCACCACATGCTGAATGTAACAACAGTCTGGGGCTTAAAACGCTTGAATTTCCGTATCTCTAAACAAATCAAATTGTCCTTCCAATTTATCAGAGATGTTGAACATTTTTTCCCCTTTTACAATGTTGCTCATTTTTCAGCATGATGCAAGTTAATAACTTTATTGTTCTTTGAGGAGAAAGAAATATTTCTATGTTCCTTTTTTAAAGAGTCACATTTTGTATAACATTATCTGCTTATTCACTTCGACTGCACAGAGTGCACACACTGCTTTAGCCATCAAGTACAATAGAAACAGTGATTCAGTTGGCTGTGTGATAGCCAATCTTAAAGGGAGACAAATTGGAAATTATTTCAGACCTTCTAAGAAAATTATATCATCTCTGCACTGTGTGGCCATCTGTGCATTGATTTTGAATGAACCACTGCTCACTAACTTGGCATTTTTGATTGGGCACAATCAAAGGATTATCACAGGATTATTTTGGAAATTGAAATTATGAGGGGTTCTCTATTGTAAATTGGCACCTCATGCACCTAAATGTTCACTTTGCCAAAATAATATACAATTGTTTTTACAAAACAAAAAATGGTTTGTTACATCCTCACCTCCTATTACTACTTAGGTAGGAGATGTCAAGAACATATACCAAATAAACTTGTGTGTACAGTAACAATATTTACATCTAACCTAGAAAGGGGTAGTGAACTTCACTAGGGAAGTCTGTATTTAATTCCATCTCTTACAGACATCAGTGATGTTTTCTCTCTCTGACAACTCTTTAAAAAGAGGTATCCATTTGCTCTTAGGATATTTTTCAGCAGGCTTAATTCCTGATAAAGGTTAGGTGGGAAAACATATAGTTGCACACTATCATGTTGGCTGCAAGAGACACTGTCTACCGCACCACACGTTTTCAAAGCGAGATTGTTTAGCCTACGTTTCTATTGAAATGTTTTTTTAAATCGACAGCTGGCAATATATGTTGATAATGTCAATTGCATTCTTCCTTGTTTCAACACAACGAGAAGGGCCATTGCAAAAAAAAACTTTACCTTGATGAGCGATCCATGTTTAAAACTGCTAAATTTAAATAATTTAAACAAAATACAGACGTTTAAAGCACAAATACAGTAGGTCTGCTGTTAAAATATTGTCCTCAGAAGCGTTTCCTCATCCCCCATTATTCTGGCTTCAGGAATTCACAATTTATTGCTTTGCAGTTTGGAGAAAACGGGTCATTGTTAATGTTCCTTTACTTTTTTCAGTGGAACAATTTTATATGCTGGATAATTGACACTAATTTGGCAACATTACTCCTCAGGCTATGAGAGTAGACTATGTGACAAACAGAACTGGTAAATTGGCTTTACTTGGGTTTCCCATCTAGGTGCTTCAGCTTTCAATCTGTGGAAAATGGGGGGAAATGTTATCTTCCCAAAACATTGTCAATCCTTTGATAAGCACAAATTACAAAGGTTTACAAAATACTTGTATAGGAAGTTATTTTGCTCCATTTGCTATGTGTGGCCAATCTTTTAATGTGAACTTAATCCCACTACAAACAGAAAGAATTGCTGTAGCAAATGAAGCAGAATAAGCCTTTTAGTTTTTGTAATCTGCAGTTGCTTTCACAACATGTCTAAAAAGGGGTTGGATAAAGCATACACCAAGACTATCAAAGAATCCCGCTCACACACATTTCACATCGTCATCTGTTTTGTTTTGCACATTAGTTTCTGGAAACCTAGCTTCCTTGGTGTAGACTTTGCTGGTTCTTCTACTCAGCCAGCTCTCCTCTATCAATAATGTGAATTGTACCTCAATGAATTAGTTCTCAAAATATTAGTCACTCCATTACACTACAATGTTTGGAGAGTTATGTCTGAAGTGGTTTGGGAGGAGCAAAATTTTAAAGAAAAAATAATTACTAGTTGCTTTGAGGGATCACCTGTAGTTTCTATCTCAATACAGGTACAACATTGTTATATTGTTACTGTGATACTAAAGCACTGTACTCTTGAACAGAAGACCAAAATTAAAATCTTAACATTCACATTCAGGGGTACCTAAAGGGTAAACTTTGCGTTGTGCATCTCTCATAGGTTGAGGGAAACAGAGAGACATGGCGAGAGTGGGAGACGGATTCCTTCCCTTATCACTGAGACATACTTTCTGATCGATTAAACAAGAACAGCCATTATGGTGTCCTTGGGGATGTTTTTGCAGAGTCGACTTGTCCTGATAAAGCAGCATATCAGGGTGAGAAAGGAGAAGATAATAGCAATGTCAAAAAAAGAACTTTAGGTGGAGGAATTGGCCCTCCACCTCACAGCTCGGCTTCAGTCCAGGCATGAAAGTCTCAACCCAGCCCCTCTGGGCTCAGAGCACAAAAAAGCCCTTGGTTTAGCACTGAATCGACAATATTACTTGGTTCCAGTGGCATAAGAACAATTTCACACTGGTGATTGGGTGCTGAGGCTGATTGTTGGGGCAGGTAACATCTCACCTTGATGTGCACAAACTATGCTAATAAATTATTCTGATTGAAAGATAGTAGATTAAATATAAATAGATTGAACTATTCTGCTTTTAACATTCAAGGTGAAAGCACCATTTTAGATTTTTGTGCTGCTTCTAAATGCATATTTTCACATTGTGTGGGCATTTAATTTTTACAAATTAAGGATCTTGATTAATGAAAGGATAAACTAACAATCAAATCAGTGTTTGAGGGGGAGGAAAAGTAACAACTTTTGTCTTTCCGGTTTCTCTTCTCTTTTCTGAAAGCATTTTTTTGATTCCTTTTCCCCCCTTAAACCCAGGACATAGGGCCACTTCCTTCCTTCATCCAAGAGCTTATTGTTCATGTAAGAACTTTGACATTGAGTGTTCAATTGAATCAAGTGGAAAAATCGCAGCTGAGCCCAATTCTGTCCGCACCCAAAATCCACAAACGGTCACTTTCCAGCAAAAGTGGACACTGGATATCAATCAGGAGCATGAAATCGGGTTGATTTTTCTTTTCCTATCTAAATATATTCAGTGAACCATGAGAAGAGGTCAAATAATCTTTAAGATAATTATAACTGCAAGAGAGAAATAACTCCCTGATTTTCTGTTGTTGGCAGACGTTTTCTCCATGAAGTTGATTCGACAAACCATGGCTTTGGTGCTACAATGCTCTGGAAATTATTCATTCCGTTAATTTCTATATTTTCATGCCTCCATCGTAAAACCACACATTTAGAGCCAAAACGGAGCCTCTGTTAATTTCAGGTATGAACTTTGCTTGACAATCAGAAAACCTTTCAGACGATAATTTGAAACCGTTGACAAATGTGGCATGAGCCAAAGTGTTGCTTCGAAAACATCTCTTGGGCTGCTTGAGGTTTGAACTCGATGGCATAAGGTCAGGCTATGGTATGGGTATTTACAGAGATATACATTGCCCAATTTCTAGAAACTGGTAAATACTTTGTCACTGGTCAATGCCCCAATCTGAGTCTCGTGAGATGGATTTCATACATTCCAACAGATATTCTCAAAGTTTGGCTCTTGTAGCTAATCAGCTCCACATTTTACCCAGGCATATGGGTTGGTTCACATTCCTTCATCTCTGTGAATGTATTGCGTCTATGAGTAGCAAGAGTATATGAAACGACGTGTGAAGAAATAGTAAGTACTAGTAGCAGGAAAGGAATTCTACCAGGCATTCATAAGGCACTAAGTAAAGAATGCTTCATAAGAAAATAACTAGGAACTGTTGTCAAAAGAAAGATGAAAAGTGAAATTAAGAACTAAATGAGGACAACACACAGCGATGGGTAGCAAGCAGAAATCCATATACATAACACTGCACTTTAAGACATATTGCACGAACAGATAGTATTTGATTTAGAATAAAGTCCATTGCACACAATAAGCATGTACTTCTTCGTTCTGATATAAAATCTGGCATAATCTCTTTAAAAAAACAAAACAAAGGAGATATAAACAGTTTGCTCTCTCTACATTGCTGACAGGGTAATAGTCAGTCCTTAGAGTTGATGCCTACTGGTCAATCTGACTGTCCAGCAGTTGACCTAGCTTTGAATTTATGTCGGAAGGTCAGAAATGACAAGCTTGTCCATCTTGTTGCTGAGTTCGGGGCCAGTGGTCAGTTCATCTGATTCATAGTCATCCTCAAATGATCTGTGAGGGAGAGAAAAAACGAATTTACCATGGTCCAAAGAGGTTATTTCCATTGATAGGGGAGTCAGTAACTAGGGAACATAGTTATAAGATAACCGTAAGAATAGTGAAAGGAGGACTAGGAGGATTTTTTTCACCCCAAGAGTAGTTGGGATGTGAATTGACCTGCTGAGTAGGGTGGTGGAGACAGAGTCCACTTTAGCTTTCATGAGGGAAGTAAACAAGCATATATGAAAGAGAGGAGCTTGAAGGGGCAATGAGATAAGGAGGAGCGGTGGGATTGAAGTGATATTTTTGTTCTGAGTCGGTGCAGGCTTGATTGGCTGAATGGGCTGTAGATCCTTCTGCACTGTAGATTTTTATGTTTCCATCTATGTTTCTAACTCAATCATTTTGCTTTTTTCAACAACATTTGCCCCTTGTCTTCTGAAGGTGCTGATTCACGCTGCACAGGTACTGACTGTATCCTGTCCAATTGACTATAGAGTTAATGTGTGAGCTATAATAGTGAATGTTGGCAGACTGTTCCACCAGGTGAAGTGGAGAGGGGAAAGAAATTACGAATGAGTCCAATCTTGTTTTCACCTGACAGTCACTGTTTCCAGCCATGGTCCCTCGGTAATAGTCAGAGGGTAGGAATATAATTAGCTTGGGTATTGACTTTTCTTTGAGCAGCAGGTGGCAGTACTTTAGGGTGGACTTTCAGTTAAGTCAGCAGTGTTTTTTTTGATGGCAGCGAATGCTAATTTACAGTTTGATAATTATAATCCGCTAAGCTCTTTTCTCCACCATCCGAGAAACATGAATCAGTTTACTCTTGTGTGGGTTTTACTCCACATAATGTTTTTCAAAGAACATGTGGAGCTATAACACCTGGAATGCAACACTAGGTGGCACTGTGAAATAAAAAGATTTGGAATGAAGTTTAATTTCCTGTGCACCAGCCTTAAAAATCAGCATTACCACTAAGTGTTATTATGTTTAATTGGCATGTAAAGCAAGTGTTATAGTTTGATCTCTCCTATATATACTACTATTGAATGGTAGTTACTATTGAATGGTAGTCTTAAAAGGCAGTACTATTGAATGGGTGGGAATTGGTGAATTTATAGTAATGTCATAATTTGTGAAGCTACAATAGTTTTATTTCGCAAATTTTTCAGGGAGTACACAAGACTGAGAAGCGCTGCGAGCTACGCCACTTAGAAGTTTAGTGTCAGTTCCAGTAATGCAGTTATACTACGCAGTTTGTTTGATGCAGTTTCTGTGTTGATTGAGGATTCAAAGTGTAATATAACTCTGGTGTGACATTAGTAAACTAACATTAATATGACCTGGAGTGGAATCTTGTGACAACACACCTCCAAGAGGTTGTTTCAGATGTGAATTGATATGCAAGGCTGTAGCATTACAGCAGTCTGATTGCTGCCAACATGTCACTGTAATAAACATTAAAATGTAATCAGTTGTCAACAATTCAGAGCTGATTGTAGTCCTGAGGTCCACTAGCTAAGACAATGTAAACCATATCTACCCATGTCAAACGATTCACTGAAGAGCCTGGGCAAGCGACTGGGTGTAAGCCCTCTGCCACTGGCCTTACTTCTGCCTCCAAGAGGTACTTAAGGAGGCCTGGGATGGTCATCACTCTGATATTCCCAGTTTCCCATTGAAGAAGCCTTTGATCTCCACTAAGTTCATCCTGCTACACTGTGGCACCTACATCTAACAATTCAAAACACATGCAATTGCCTCCATGAACTCACCCTTCCTGTAACTGCTCATTGGCAGACTCCTCTGCCACCAAAATTTCATATTCTTCTGCTGCATATTTGTCCCAATCCGAAGGCTCTGGACTATCACTCTCAATATCCTGCAAAAAGCAAAGAATGACAGTTAGCATTAGAAGAAAATGCAATAATATCGCAAGACTAATCCTCAAGGGTAATTGTTAAGGGTAGTCAATTTTTAAAAAAAAATCCAATTATCAGCTCACATTGAAAAAGTCTAAACTTAACTGCGAGAGAAAATCTCAATTTATTTTTGTATTTTAAAAAAAATGTAAAATGAAAGTTTACCTAATCAGAATTGTGACAAATTCAAATGAATCCATAGGCCAATAACTCAGCTACTAAATACTTTGAGGCATAAACTCTCAATAAAACACGTTACCTAAATGCTCATTCATATATTTACCAACCCTGGTAGATGATTGTGTTTGATTCTTCTCTGGTCATTATATTTACTGACCTTGTCATGGTATGAACAGGCACAGGGGCGAACTGTGTAACTATTCCATTATTGTGGTTAGGATTTATATTACACTGTCATTCTATTTCGCCTGTAAAATACAGTCTATTTACTTTACAGTATATTCTCTGAAGCACTGAGTTGTCTCATGTCATAAGATGCTATACCAAATGCAAGGATAATTATTATTATTTCCAATATTGTTTAAGTTCATGACAATGTAATATGAAATTATATTTTCCCCTCCACTATGAACCCACGGTTACCTTCTGCACAGCAAATGGATCTCTCTGCTCATGGTCCAGATATTTCTCTAAGTTGAAGCAAGTGTCATAAAATATATGTGCCATTCTGCACCTCTTCAGATCTCGCAGGGTGATTTTTCCTGGAAAGAAAAGAGTTCGGGGAGTGATCAAGATAATTGAGGAACATTCAAAGATTAGCACCATCTACACAGCAAATGATTCCCTTTCACAAAGTGAAGAACGATGTGGTACTTCACTTTTCTAGACTCGTACACATATGACATTCCTTGCGCGAAGAGGAAGTTTTAAAAAGTTGTTCATGTAAAAATAGTGATACAGTTTGCATTGTACAAGATATAAGATATATCTGAACTTTCACAGTGGCTAATATAGCACCTGTATACCAGGAACACACTGTTCCTCACTTCTAGGAAGTCAAACTGACTTGATTCTCCCTTAAAAGGCAACAGTGTCCTTCTGGAGAAATAGAACATCAATAACTCGGTATTGTTGGTTACCCCGGCCATTAAGCTAACCTGACTATTTAAAGTGTTAAACAGGACTGTTTCTGCTCACGCCGACAATGCTTTATTCCATTCATTCACCTTCACATTCTGGCTTCACTAGATCCAGCATCTGGCACAGGAGGTCGTGGAATGGCAATGGCTCGATGCCCATTCCCTCCATCCGTTCACATTGTTCTTCGTAGAAATACTCCAGCTCATACATAGAGAGCACACCATCACCATCAATGTCCATGGCCCGGAACCAGTACTCCATACTAGAACAAGGAAGAAAACACATTACAACCTGTGGTAACTTACCTTCCTTCCATCCTCTTACTTGAAAGCTATATATATTTTTATCTTGGATCTATGGATGAGGTGTTCACCATGGTGTCATCATAAATCATCTAAATAGTTCCCAGGTTAACTCGGGAGTTATGGTGCAATTCTCAACATCCCATCATCAATTATTGCTTGATAGAAACCTACACTGCAATCTGATCCTTGTTTTAAGGGTGTGAGAGGGCATTTATGTTAAAGACTTATTAGCAGCAACAGTTTCGCCCACAAAATATACAGTCGCTTCACTTTACAGTATGTTCTGCAAAGCGCTTTGAGACGTCTCGAAGACATGATAAGGCGCTATATCAAATGCAAGGATTATTTATTATTATTATAACATTTCATGTGTGAGAACACTATATTTTACAATATATGACCTCATAGAATGAAGATTGCAATGTTTCTGCAAAACAATGCTTTTTCTTCCTCATAAAGGATAAAGATCACAGGATGTGCTGACAAAAATAATAATAATAATAATCCTTGGATTTGATATAGCGCAATTTAGTAATATAGCCTATTACAACTCCAAATGTATACTGGAGATGATGGGATTTGGCATTCGTGGCAGCATCACCGAGAATTACCTGGTGGCATTCTTCTTATCCTCTTCAGAAACCAAAAACCAAACAAAGTCAGCATAGCTCATTCGCCCATCCTTCTGCACAGAATTACCCCTGAAAATAGAGAGCACCCACTGGAGATGATTCCATTTAATAGTCAAGACCACAAAATAATTGGCAACTTTATGTTGTTTACGCATAATGTTTATACACTGCTTCCAACTCCAAACGGTTCTTTGGCTGCCAATAGCTCTTTGGCGATACTGAACAGTGAATATAGGCTGATCCTGAACCTGTTGCCACCCAACATATATGCAACACACACAAGATACAGCTGGGGGTCACTGGATTACAATCAGCACCAGGAACCCTGCCTGATTTTTACTTTTCCTAACCCAGGAACACTATGAATATTTTCCTAACTAATATACTGGCTGAGATCAGCTAACTCAACCCAAATCATGATTCGAGATTGCAACTTTCTGTGTGGCTTTGTGCTGCATTGGTAGGTCAGGGTATTAAAGGATATGAGGAGAAAGCGGGAGATTCGAATTGAAAGGATTAGTTGAGGTACAAATCAGCCAACGTGGCTGATATCAAATCATTTCCATGAATGTGACCCAAAAGCTTTGTGCTTCAGTTAAATCTTGCAAACACTTCCTTTTTAAAACGTCTGATCAACATATTGAATTCATAACCATCAAGAAATTATCCAGTTGTAGGAACGAAAAACGTTTGACCCACCTTGTAACTGCTCCAGAGAATATTCTTTCAATAATTCTATTGGAGATAGCTGTGGAAAAACACAACAATGGTAAGAGTCAATGCCTCTTATTTTTACTGCAGAGGAAACTGCTTGGAAATAGTGCAGTGTAAAATGCATTTAATAATAATCCTTGCATTTGATATACCATGTCGTTGAGACGATTTGAGGCGCTTCACAGAATATATTGTAATATTGTCATATATCATATATTTTGTGGGCGAAACACGGCAGCCAATTGTGCATAGCAGTGTCCCACAAACAGTCTGAATGTCCATATATTTTTTAAGCTTGATTTTCTTCCCTTCATAGTCTCCTGCATCACTGGTACCAGATTCTGGTGAACAGGATGAGAGATGTAGGCAAACCTTCAAATTTCACCCCCGCTAACTTTCTCTGCTGCAGTAAATAAAATCCCAGTTGTTTTAAACCTGCCATAACTTTATCTTTTCCTCCAGGAAATGTAAAGGATACAAGACTTACATTTACAGGTATGTAATTTATAGAATCACTCACCATGATCATTGTGTCTGGCCAAGTCCTTCTGATCAACAAAGAGGTCATGGTCAGTGTCTAGTTCCCAGAACTTACAGTAAATTACATAGAAGTGCTCATATGAGAAGTAGTCTGTGATTTGGTTTATGTCATCTTCTTCTTCCAGGAGCGCAAGAGTCTTAAGAAAAGTAAAAAAACACAAGGATTGATAAGTGTTAGAAAGCAGCAAGAGAGTATTATGTCAAACCATGACTTTCCCCTCTCTCTTGACTCTATCGGGATTTTTTTGGTTCTACTCTACTGGCACTGAACATAAACATCGCTAAAAACCTGCCTGAAAACTCAAAACAAATAAATCCTTTCTTGTGTTCAAAGCAGAGAATTTACAGAGAGCATAAGAGACGTCTAGGATAGAGGTAGAAAAGCTACATATTTCCTATTTCTGTTATTTATTAATCTTCAGATGTGATTGTGGAGTCTTGCATATTACACGTAGGAGTCCATTATATGCATATTGCATCTAACGGTTTCTTGCTTTCCGATCTCTAGCTCTAACACTGGTAGCATGTTGTCCAGTTTGACAAACGTGTGATAGGTCTTGACCTACGTCTGTAGCCTTTGGTGGAGGAGTGACATACTTGCAGGAAGTTGCTCTTCCTCAGTTCTGTCAGGGTTATCTTGCCAGACCAGGATCTGTTGACTGTGTAAAATATTCTCTGTATGACCTATATGAGAGGAGACAGTAAACAAACCACAAATAACTATTCATTGCAGAGATATTAATAAAAAAGAACTCTCATCCCTGGAAGATAGAGGAAACGGCAAACTGGCAGCAAAGTTACATGCCACAGGTTAAATCCAGTGACCTGTTAACCTAAATAACACTGTCCTGCCAGGCACGAGTTTCAGCCAACAAGCCTGCTCCAAGGAGAAATTGATCTATTTTAAATCTTCTCCCTGCGAATTAGTTAACAGACAAAGGGATGAGCATTATTGACAGATACAATAACTAGTGCCAAACTCCCTAATAGGGATAGTCATGTGTTAGGGATCACCTTCAGGTACAATCATTCTTTCCATGACATAGTGATTTTGAAATCCTCTGCAGTTGCTCGAGCGTCTAATATAAACAGCTAATATTGCCACACTCTCGCTCTTCGGGATTTAATCTTTCAAACTTTTTTTTTAAAAAAAAGTCAGGATTTGTAGTTCATAAGCATTTACAGAAGTAAGGAAAATTGTGGCAGCAATTAATGGAGTCAACTATCACCCTGCTGAAATTTCTCCCTCCTCTCCTGAAGGCACTGACTCTTACCCGGAGCAGTTTTAAACATGACAGCTGGCCACTGGTATTTCATCCAAAAGGCTATTCTGAACACTGTACCGTAAGAGTTGGTGTGTGATAAGAAAAGCAATTGGAGGATAAAACAGGCTGAGTATCAAATGATATTCTTCCAACTTTCGGCCTGGTCACAAGTGAACTGACCACAATGATCTATCTCTTTAATCCCTGTATATTTATTTCACTTACAATGTAAAATAATCCGAATAGTGTGAAGGAACTGTAGCAGAACGTTGAAAACCATGGCGTATGCAACGTGATCTTACCGTGGTAATGTATCGTGAATGGAATTCTGGTGCATCCTTCAGAAATGTCAGACCCGGGTGTGTATCCACAATGTCCTAGGGAAGAGAGATCGAAAATGAAGTGAGTCTCGATTGCCTGAATGAGGTTCCGCTAGAAATCGTGATATCAAAACCCTCCTGTTCCACCGTGCCTTCAGCCACCCTCCTACTCTCGCCACCCTCCACTCTGCCCGATCCCAACCCCCAGCTTGGGTCCACTCCTTGGGATGTCCTCCCGACGTGAAAGGCGCTGTACAAATAAGGAAGGATTAAAATGGATTAGTTGTTCCTCATTCTTTCAATGCCCTGTTATTAATGTACATGGAAAGAGTTACTCCACCTGTGGAGCAGAATAACACCTCCCAAAACCTGACTTATTATTTAAGGAGAATGTCTTATTTGTGCTTACGTCTGCTGTGGCATTGATACAAGCCCGGGAGAAGAGCACCCAAGCCTAACCTCTCAGCTGGTAAATAATAGAAGACACGGCAAACTTCAGAGAAGAGACAAGGAGAAAGCGACAAGAGATGTGTCCTGAAGCTGCACTTATTCGAATTGACCAGCATGTGTCACCCAAATGCAAACAGTCTCTCCAGCAAACAACAAATGTTTGAGTAGCCAAGTTACTGATGCCCATCAGGTGACTGCTGTTATCTGTAAGTCAGATATCCAATACCACGGACTCACATTCTTTAGCATTACCATTGTGAACAGTCGCCAACATTCAATGTGGTAAATATTCAACATATCGCTAAATTGAACCCATTGTCATAAGCGACGGTAATTAAAAGGCTCGGGAGGATTGGTATGTGAGATAAACTTGTGGATTGGGAATGCTCGTGTCCCAAGTTGCAATGGAGAACAGCCTCCTCTTTTGCAATGTGCTGTAATGTGATCAATGGAAAATTCCACTGGTCCTAATGAGTTTTATTTAATCGTGGAAGATGATCTGGTATTTGCTAATGCTGCTTGTAAAACCTTAATAAAAACCTTTGTGAGAAGACAGTTCTCTAACCACGCTGAAATACTTTAAGAGCAGTGATAATGGGCTGCTGATGTCCGAACTTCATCATTGTGCCTGACTCTTGAAGAATTACATATTTCTAGCCCCGATACATTTCAAATTGACACGTGTGTGTGTGTATAATCATTTTTGTCCAAGTTGTCAGAAACACACTCCCCATGCTGATTAATTTGCTTTACATTTTCCACATTCTAATATTTTCGCTCTCTTACATTTTATTTGGGAGGTAGAAAAGCAATCGCAAGATGTCTCTCAGGGAAATCAGATCATTATTTTATGTGCACCAGGTATGACGTTCATAATTATCGAGTTCAAATTATTTTAATGATGATCACTTACGTCTTGCCTGCACAGATTCAGTCAGGTACTTTATCAGGTCAATAGGTGGCACTAGTCCTACAGCACCCATCTTGATTTGGCGTGGGTCTGAATCTAAATTATGCATTTATTTTTTAAATGTTTCTATTCGCCTCTTTGACCCATTGAGCCATGTGGCCTGTTCTCCAGGTGCAGTTCTGGCTACCAGAGGTTGGTTGAGATTGTGACCAGGTTTCTTATTCTGTTTATCTTTCTCTTCCTGTAAGGAAATGCCTGTTTTTAATTCTGCATCCCATGATCTATGTGAAAAAACGATTTCCCTTAAAAGAGGCAAAAAAACACGGAAGGAATACAACTGTTCAGCATGGGAAGGATCACCCCATGTGTTTAAAGGGTCTCGCCAAACTTGAAGTCAGTGCTGGAAAGCATCACATTTTCTGCTATCAATTTTACCCCAGCTAATGGCAGATCCAATAGCAGATGCATGATTATAATTCTTGGCCATTTTATCAGTTGATGAGATACTTTTAAAGGACTTTCGGGAATTAAAATAATCATTTCATAAAAGCATCATCTTATTTGGGTTGTAGCTGAACTAGCTAAAGGCTGTTAAAACTTTGATTAATTTGTAATTGAGATGAACATTTGTCCAATTTTCCCCAAATAATCCATGCAAAAGGTGATTGGCTCCCAATGATCTTTACTTTGGTCATTCTATGTAAATCAAGCCTCTTTGTGATCAGACTCAACTGGGTCAAGCTGTCTCAACTGAAATTTATCAGCATTTGGCTGACATAATGGAATGGGAGTGACTAAATTATCTGCCCAATGCATATGATCAAGTGGGGAGAGGTTTGCAGCTGAAATCTGTCAGTGATTCAGACTCTTCCTGCTTTGCACCCCAGATACATAATAATAATCCTTCCATTTGATATAGAGATCTTGGGAAACATTGGGCAATGATTCCACCTGTGCTCAGTTACAGGGGTAAAGAGACAACGGTATCCAACATTTCAACAGCCTGTATAGAACGAGATCATTCAAATGTATCAATCATCCAAATTTCTTGAAGGATGGTGAATAAGCACAGCTAAAATGCCAAGAAAATAAGAAAATAAAGCTTGAAATGTCTTCTTGAACTCAAAATGTTATAGTAAACCTCCAGGACTTGTAAGGTAAGACTCAGGTAAGAAATATTTCTGCTGCCTCAGTTTTAGAATAATCTATCTTTTAAAAACACAAAAAACTATTGTTTTCTTTTCCTGTAGCTGGAGGTAATTGATCATAACATTTAATTTAGTCAATTTCTCTTCTAAGTTGAAGTGCTTAGATCCTCAGAGATGTTTGACCTGGACTGGGAGTCAGTTGTCCTTGTGTAAAACAGATTCTAAGTAGCATGTTCATGTGCATATGAGAAAACTTCTCCACTATCTGGGAATCCTGTTAAATTATTTTCTAACTAAATTAACCAACCAACCAAGATACTTATGCCCTGACATTCTACGTTTAATTGACATTGATTAGAAGACCTTCAAGAGATGTACTGTATGGGGCTGTACACATGATTAGCAGTGGAAAGGTTAGCTATGATTCCTTGTGGACTATTGTACATTGGATTTAATGAAGCAACCGCATTGAGTACTTAAGCTGGCATGCGTGAGGAGAATATGCCAGTGATATTGCCTAGAAAGAAAAGTTCACTCATTTTCACCATCAAGTGCCTGAAAAGCGTGCCCACTACTTTTCTGAACTGTTATTTGCTTAGCAGGTTCTGAGAGTGTCTATTTTCCCATGTGTCAAGTAGTATGTGATTCTATATCTGGAGTTCGGATGGTTGAAACAATTATCAGAGCAGGTTTTGTAATGTATTCTAATGAACGCTATACAACAGAGCACTGCAATAAGGAGCTTAAGCTATCTCTTTTGTGATGGATAAAGTTCTTTACACTTTTAAAAGTTTCTACTGTTGTTGTCTTTGATGTATTTAAAATGAAGTGTAATATTTATTATTCTGCTTTGGCTCCTATTGTTTCAACCATAGGTTAAATCTATGTTGTGGTTGACTGGGGTCTAATGACAGGTGTTCAGTGAGAATGACTTGTAAGGCCATCAATAACTAATGGCACACAGGCGAATGGCCCGATTTAAGCATTCCGAGATGCTACCCGGTGTAAAGGGTGCTATGCAAATGCAATTTATTGTTGTTTGGCTTGTTTGTTTTCTTTGTTGTGTTGAAAGGTGTCCCCCACCCTTCGAAACTCCATCCCACAGTCCTTTTGCCTCGCTCACTCCCTTGTCTCCTTCAAGGCAGGTCTCAAGATCCTCCTCTTGGACCGTGCCTTCAGTCACCCCCCTACCCTCCCTGCCCTCTTCCACTCCTCCTGATCCCAATCCCCTGCTTGAGTTCAAATCCTTGACGGTCCAGTGCCTTGGGATGTCCTCCCAATGTAAAAGACTCTATACAAATGTAATGCGCTGTTGTTTTGCGTACCTGCAACAGTGGAATGAAGTCTTCCTGTTCCAGGTAGTTGCAGGAAGGTTTGGCAAGAAGGTAGACAAACCTTGATGCATCGTCGTGGCAGGTCTGTAACACTCTGTGAAAGACAAGACCATTGAAGTTACTGTTTAGGGGCCCAGTAAAAGAATCTGATATTTAAAGCTGAAAGAAAGCTGTGGGGGAAATGACTGCATCACCTAACATTTTAAAGGGTGTGGAATAGAGAGAGGGGAGTGACCTGAACTTCCATACTCACTTTCTCCACGTTGCCACAAACGAGTGCACAGACGCGCATCCTGTCCTTTCTCCACCAGCAGAAATAAACATGGGGGCTTTCCAATATAAAGGACAGCCACAAGCCTTTTTTTTTAATAAAAAAAAGAAGAAATGCACTTCAATATTGTCATGACGAAGAATAAAATCAGGAAGTACAATAGTATTGCTAAATGGTCTTAATGATGTCGAAGAGCTGATATCGAAGGTGTGCAAGTATAGAAAAGTCATTAAAAAATACACTGGTTCTGAATTTGTATATAATATATAATAGACCTATGATACTAAATGCAAAAGTAGGGGAGTGATACATTTATGTAAGATGCTGCTCAGGCTTCAGTGGCTGTACAACATGTAATCCTGAGTACCCATAATTTGGTGCTCCATTGGCAACTGTCTACACTAATTGTGGTGGCAAAACTATTTTTAGTCACTGCTCCTTAAATTGACAACTTGATTTCATGCAATGGTAGAGCATGATATTTTTACATTTTTTTTCAACTGAGCTTTATTTTTTTTTCAGTCTACAGCAAACCCCCAGTATGGAGCTTCAATTCCTGTGTTTACAGTTTCATACCTTTGCGATTTTGCCCATTTCATAAATATCAGCGTTTTCATCCTCAAACTCTGAGAAGGCTGCTTCAATCTTGATAACGGTCTCATCATGGTCATTGTTAGCGTTTGGAAGTCCTTTAGGGAAGTAGAAGCGTGGAATGTTTACAGATGCGGGAGTACTGACAACAACCTTATTTGAAGGGGGACGAGGACTAGGAGCAGTGTTAGTCACAGCAGGAGGTGGAGTTCCGGGTTTCTTCTCTTTATTGCTTTGGACCTGTTATAAGCACAATAGAACACGTCACATAAATTCCACAAAAGCAGTATTCTACATGGAACAGAAAGCAGATAATAATAAAATTGAACTAACAAGATTTCATGGTTTCTGCCAGAAAAGCATCCTGAGAACTTTCTAATGAGGGGTCGGAGCTGAAACATTAAACCACCGTTCTCTTTTAGATGCTGATTGTTTTTTCAGCATTTTCTGTTTTTATTTCAGGTTTCCCAGCGATTTGCACTTTTTTGAAAAAACATCTTAATTTGCGCACAAGTGCTTTTGCTTGAGGGGGGCGGGGGGAAATCCTTCCAGTACCAGATTTTCTCTTTGGTCAGATGCTAGAAATAGAAATGCTTCTGACAGTAGAGATTGTTATACATTCTGTACTTAGGGTGTCTGCTTTCACAGGCTATGTAACTGACAAGTGTTCAACCACCCTGTTCCACGTGAAGCAACATTCTACAGACACACGTATTACCAATTAATCATTATGAACTTTCCAGCGCTGCTCGAAAATATTAGCAGCACCAGATTAAGGTAATATTACAGTAAAACTGTTTTAAATTCTTTTAGCAACTTCTTTAAAAATAAGACACATGGGGATTAGGGGGAAGGAAGAAAGAGGAGAAATGACTTTCACTTCTTGGTACTGGCCACTGTCTGTTGATGATGGTATTTAACTGTCGTGCATTATTAGTTCAAGGGACTCTTTAAAGGGTTAGATATTTGTATAGATTAGCAGTTAGTGGAAAGTTGCACAGGATTGCGATGTTATTGCTCACTAGGATGCTCTGCTTTTCTCAATATTTCCATTCCTTGATTTGTTAAACCTGTTATTTTAAAATCCACTTCAAAAGATATTCTCAAGTACATTCTAGTACAAAGTAATGCGATATCTCATATCAAAATGTACAAAATATTACCACTTCAGTAATATTGAGACTTTTTGCCTTTTTACAAATACTGAAGTGGTTTATCCAATATGTTTTGATTTCTACAAGAGTTCAAACTATATGCAACTGTAATGTTGAAAATCTGAGCTGCCTGAAATGCTCGTCAGAGGGAATCCTCTCGTGTTTGGGCGCTCCCACACTTCCAACATTGGGAGTTACAAGGGAGTTCCGCGCCTTGGGACGTCCTCCCAACGTGAAAGGCGCTATACAAATGTAATCTTGTTGTTGTTTTTGTTACTGACTGAGCCAATACTAAGTATCTTAAACTCTTTAGAGCGAGTTTCCTTTTGAAACTTAATAATAATAATCCTTGGATTTGATATAGCCCCTTATCACGTCATCAAGACGCTGCAAAGCACTGCGTAGAATATACTGTCAGCTGAATTGACAGTATATTTTTGGGCGAAATGGTGCAGCCAATCGTGCACCAACTTAAAATGAAAAAGAATTGTTGAATTATTTTCATATGCAAACGGATAAATTTAGTTCACTTTCAGAATAATACCTTATCCTTGCACCATCTTCCCTCTCCCCAGTTTTGATTAACATTCCAAACTCTGCTATTAAAACATCATGACACTGGATACAAGTCTTTTAAATCGTAGAATTATAAAACATTTACAGCACAGAAGGAGGCCATTCAACTCATCTTGGTTGCCATGGAACAAACCGTATACAGTCCACACAGGTTTCAATGAGATTGGGCAAGTGCCTCCAGCTAACTGGGAATTATGCAACAATTTATAACCAATAAAAGATTGTATTTATTTCAAAAGAGGTTTCTGTAACTGTTAGTCAGTTTAATATTGCACACAGAATTACTGTGCTGAAATATTGTAATGGAAACGGTAAAGGTAGGTTACAATGCCTACGCTGCACATCAAAAGTAATTAAAGAAGCAGTCAAAGTGTCTGTCAAACCATTTTTTTTGTTGCTTGTTCTCTAATGAAATGATTAAATGCAAATTACACCACACTCATTGTGGCTATGGTCACGATTGCTGAAAGTGACCTGATTTCAAGAAGCCTGTGACCCAGTGAGAACGCCGAAGACTAAAAACCTAAAGAAATTCACTCCAAGCACTCTGTCACATCAACAACACAGTATTATACTGGCTTTATAAGTGACACTTGCAGGATTCAGCTTTTGATTTGGGACTGGGGGAAGCTGAAGGGGTTCTCAGTCTTAATTTTTTAATAGAGAAATAAATGTAATGGAATTAAAATATAAATAATTAGTGAATTACTAATTCCGCACAATCTTTAAAATGTCAATTTGTGCTTACAAAATCAAACATCAGGATTATAGCATTTGCATTCAGGCAGGTTTTTAAATCATTAAAGCCATTTAAGTCTAAGGCGATTTTCCTATGAAAAATTAGTCTTGAAAGCTCTGAAAAATTGTATCGCACGTAGAATATCACCAAACACCATATTTTGCTTCACTTCACAAATAAACACAACACATATGAGTAAGTTCCACAGTCTCATTCGGCTTTTTTTTTTAACTCCTTGAGAACTAAAACGAAGTTTTTTTTTGATCTTAAAACGCTCTACGCACCTTTTTTCTTTCGTATAACATCCGCAAAAAATGATTTTCTGTAAATTTTTAAAGGCAAACATTTTTATGAGGAGTCGCGGGCCAGATACACAGAACCACTGACTATTCTTGGGACGGACTGAAAAAACATTGCAATCTTGTGAGATGCTCGTTCCCCCTTTTTTTTTTGTTTGTTTGGTGGTTTTGGGTGCAGAAATGCTACTTGATCCTCAAAGGGTTAAAAATAAAATAAAAAGCCATAGGAACCGGCGCAGACACAAATAAAATGTTACTTTACAGGTTGCACAAGGACTTTAACCGCCTTCACTCTCCCTACCACAGCATCGGTCTCTGCTCCATTCTTTGCCGAGGATAGAGTGAACAAAGACGCTAAGACCTCCCTTCCCCCTCAGGACCTCAGTAATCCAAAGCGATGCCTGCACTGAATTGCAATTCACTGAAGTCACGGGCTATTAAATGCACGGAGAAAACACAAAATAAAGACGATGCAATCCTATCGTAAGAAACCCCCGCCCAACAAAAACGGCATTTTATAATTTTACTGATGGGCGCAGCGCGGTTGAGTGAAGTGAAGAAATACGGCTACCGTAACGAAGCAGGCTATTTTACACAACACTGATGTTAACGCAGTCGAAAATGTGATATTTCCAGACTGTCAACTTTTAATAAACTCGCGCTTACATTCTTAACTCTAAGCGATTGCCGTCTTGGGCGGCGAGGGTCGCATGGTAATACGCACGTTTCCTAGATTTGTTCTTGCAACGCGGCATAGACGTGGCAAACCAGTTTAACAAAGCAGAGAGAATTGTGCCGTTGCCCTGGAGAAGTGCGTGATCGCTGTGGAAGCTGCTGGTTCATTGAAAAGAGAAGCTAACGACTTGCATTTTGGTGACTTTCACTGAAATAAATTTCTTGTGTGAGATAAATGTTGGTTCCTCTTCAAGGTTCCCAGTAGTCACACATGAGAAATGCCAACCAACCACACCCAAGTTGACAGAAAGTATCAAAGTGGTAGTGCATATTACAGCGGAATTGTGCTGATCGATTGCAGTCGTGAATATTTGTATACAGTATGTTGTCCAAGACTGATATCAATGTCATTAGTACCTTAATAAGAGGACCATCAATGTAACGTAACCATCTTTGAATACTGATCCCATATCTCCTACTACAACAACAACAAATTACATTTGTATAGTGCCTTTCACGTCGGGAAGGACGCCACAAGGCTTCTAGCATTTCATGTCCGAACAAAATGGTTTACTATCTGATGTGCAATTCTCTCACCTCTGATCTGCAAACTTTCTCTCTCTCTCTCCAAAGTTTCTCTTTTTCATTTGTAACCTTTCTTCTTTCTCTGTTTTCATCAGCAAAACGTCCATTATCCACTGTTCTAAATATGTACATGACTCTCAGATAATATGAACTCCCCAACTCTGTTATTGCCTCTTACTTCCCCCCCCCACACCTCTGTCTTAGCTGAACAACATTGCTTATTATACAGGAAGGGGAAATAACTGCTTTTGTACTTTAACTTTACGGTAGCTTTTAATAACTAGTTCTGTTATTTAGCAATTAACAGTTGTCAACATGGTCGAAGGGTCTTCTTTATCTGACCCTTGTGTAAGATTGATAGATACATATTACCGCATATACACACTTTTCCTTTCAGAGCCTGTATGCAACTAGCTGTCTTATCTTCCAAAACAAATTTCCAAGGTCACTTTAGAAATTTCAAGTGAAATTTGCAACATCAAATTCCACCAAGCTGTTATGTAATATAATTTAGTGGTTTACAGTGTCAGACCTTTAGGAAGATGGTTTTGGACTTCTTTAGACTAATTTGTTGGGTTTTTGGAATTGCAGATTTTTTTAAAAAATGTTTTATTTTCTCTTTTCTACGTCCTTAATTGCGTCTTAGCTGCTTTGTATCTGACCTCAGCCTAGACTACTACCAGGGCCAGAAAAACGTTTGATTTGCGTTTTAATTTTAAATTATTTTTCAGGTATATAGTGTATACTGCTGCGCGCAATTGGCTGCCGCATTTCACAACAAAATATATCGTGAATTCAGTTCACATTATATTCTGTGAAGCGGTTTGAGACATCTCGAAGGCGTGATAAGGCGCTATATCAAATGCAAGGATTATTATTAAATTGTACGAATAAAAAAAGTTCTATCTTAAAATGTGAGATTTTTTTTTGAAGAACTTGCTCCTTTAAGGCTATCTATTTTACAAGTAGAGGTAAAAATGCTACTAACAACCAGTTAGGTTTCAGTGAGCTATATTTTCTCCAACAGCTGTTCCGTATTGTTTCCCAGCTTCAGCATGTTCCTCCACTTTAAAGCCTTGATGACACAATTGGCAAATATCGTACTGATGTTATATTTTGCTATTAGTGCTCTGGTGGCTGAGGCCCAAATGCTGCAAATAGCCAGGCACAGTGTGACTTGTGTAGTTATGCAGAGATATGACTTCTAATTCC